TTCTCTCTCTCTCTCCCCCCCCCCACAAGAAGCAGTCTGGGGTAGTGATTAGTGACTGACTTGGAGGACCCAGGTTCATAAGAACATAAGAGATGCCAATGTTGGATCAGGCCAAAGGCCCATCCAGTCCAACACTCTGTATCACACAGTGGCCAGAAATACCAGTGCCATCAGGAGGTCCACCAGTGGGGCCAGGACATTAGAAGCCCTCCCAGTGTTGACCCCCCCCAAGCACCAAGAAGACAGAGCATCACTTGCCCCAGAGTCCCTATCTATACCTTGTGGCTAATAGCTACTGATGGACCTCTGCTCCATATGATTATCTAATTCCCTTTTGAAGCCGTCCATGCTTCACCACCACTTCCTGTGGCAGTGAATTCCAAGTGTTAATCACTCTTTGGGTGAAGAAGTACTTCCTTTTATCCGTTCTAACCCAACTGCTCAGCAATTTCATGGAGTGCCCAGGAGAGTTCTTGTATTGTGAGAAAGGGAGAAAAGTACCTCTTCCTCTACCTGCTCTTTCCCATGCATCATCTTATAAACCTCAATCATGTCACCCCTCAGGCGTCGTTTCCCAGAGATAGATTCTGGTTTCCAGAGATAAGATTCTGGTTGGGTTGATTCCTCCCCCCCCCCACCCTTTTACACCCAGGAAGACTGAACCTAAACATGATATGGGGGGAAGTGTCTTTTCTGGTTCTGTGGGTCCCAAGACTAACAGCCCTCCACCTGAATTTCTCTACCTACTCCTCCCCCTTGACAGCTGTGCCTCTTCCCATTGTGTACAGTCTCAAGTGCTCTAATTTTTTCCAGAACCTTCTCATAGATTAACCCCTTCTTTTTTCCATTCCTTGACTCTTCTGCCCTTTACTTCCCTCCTTTCCTTCCTGCAAATTTTTCTTTTCCAGTTCCCCCACTTTTCATCATTCCTTCTTTTTCCTTGCCTCTGAGCCTCATATCCTGGGACCTCTTCCCAATCCTCCAGAGTCCCCTGGGTTAAGTTTTAAGCCCAGCCAAATAGACATCGTTACCTTCCCTCACAGACGTTTGTCTACAAACTCCCTAAGCAATTGAACATTTTGACTCTTCACATCAGCTTAGCCAACCTGTGGTACTCCCCCAAACACAATAAAACAGAATAGGTATTTGCATACTACATTTATAATACTTGCCTTTAAAAAAACAGGTATATTTAATATAATACAGAATTTCTCACAACAGGATTTATTTTTCAGTTTTCCTAGTGGACAATGTTTTACCGTATCCTGATTTTAAAAATTGGGCCAGGTGAAGGATCAAAAAGGACATATTGTAAAAGGACATATTATTTCATAATAATTGGTTTTTATTCCACTGATGTTCGTTAGACCTCCATTTATAAGAATCCTGCGGCCTGAAATCATTTCTTGATTCATTAGATGCTTTGTAATGGATCAAGAGGGGATTGGATAAACATATGGAGCAGAGGTCCATCAGTGGCTATTAGCCACAAGATATAGAAGGAACACTCTGTCTGGGACAGTGGTGCTCTGTATTCTTGGTGCTTCAGGGGCAATGGTGGGAGGGCTTCTAGTGACCTGGTCCCACTGGTGGACATCCTGATGGCACCTGGGTTTTGGCCACTGTGTGACACAAGAGTGTTGGGCTGGATGGGCCATTGGCCAGATCCAACATGGCTTCTCTTAATGTTCTTAAGGGCAGAGGTCCATCAGTGGCTATTAGCCACAAGGTATAGAGGGAACACTCTGTCTGGGGAAGTGATGCTCTGTATTCTTGGTGCTTAGTGGGCACCAGTGGGAGGGCTTCTGGAGTTCTGGCCCCGCTGGTGGACCTCCTGCTGGCCCCTGAGTTTTATCCCCCGTGTAACACAGAGTGTTTGACTGGATGGGCCATTTCCTGATCCAACATGACTTCTCTTATGTTTCTTATGTTCAAGTACATTTTCATCTCTACCAACTATCTGCTCCCTGAAAATGTTCTGCAATATAAAAACTACTTCCCCCCCCCCAAAAAAAGATGCCTCCTGTTAAGCATAGATAATGCCTCTGTCTTGGACTCCACTGCCTTTAGTCTAAACTAAACCCATTTCTTTCCTAGGGTACATCGGGTCCTTCCGGAATTATAGGCATCCCCGGACAACGTGGTACTGCAGGATTGCCAGGCATGAGAGGAGCCCCAGGACCTGTTGGTCTACCTGGTATCAAGGTAAGGCAAGCATTCTTTGAAGCTAATCCATTATTGAAATCACCCCAACTACCTAACAGACTATTAGTTTTCAGCGACAATTTTGATTTGTAAAACAAGCAAAAAACTTATCCTGCTCTTCTTAACACTCTAAAAGCTATGGAATGCTTGTACCAAATCTGGGAGATACCTGAAAGGCTATGTATGCAATGAAAGGCACAAAAATATTTCATTTTGAAATACTGCACAAGGGACATGTTTTACACATACGATTGAATCCTAAGCACCATGAGTGGAGCTGCGTGCCTAGCAGGGAAATTTCCCACCTCCCCCTTCCTGCTGCACTAAGCTGTTCATCCTGAAATGCTGTTCATAGCATTGGTAGATCCACAGAAACAGCATATGGTACAACGTGGTGGTCTGTGGTGGGACAGGGAATTGGTGAAAATCTCACGTGAGTGAAAGTGCTCTTTACATGAGGAGAAGAACACTTAGGATCCAGGCCATTGAACATACAACATATTCATAGATAGCATGATCTCATCAGATGTTCTCAAATTCTTCTTTCCATGTAATACAAATTGAGCTATGGATCACCAATTAGTACCTGTTAAGAAGAACTTGTAGGAGTCATTAATAACATAATCATTAGGGCTCTTTTTGTAGCAGGAACTCCTTTGCATATTAGGTGACACACCCCTAATGTAGCCAATCCTCCAAGAGCTTACAGTAGCCCCTGTAAGAAGAGCTCTGTAGACTCTTGGATGATTGGCTACATTAGGGGTATGTCACCTAATATACAAAGGAGTTCCTGCTACAAAAAGAGCCCTTATCTTCATTAATTCCTGCACTATTGGTAGTGATTCCTTTCCCGAAGGGCCTATGCATGGTTCCCAATGTTTGCCAGATATTTTAGTCTAGCAGCTTATAGCGTATGTAAAATTATGTCATGACATTCCCCATTCCGTTCAAAAAAAGAGATAATTATGAGTCCAGAGGCAAATGAAAAACCAGGATTTTGTAAAGTATATCTTTGCAATTTACCAAAACCGTTGAGTCCTCATACATTTAAATGATAAATTATATTATGACAATAACAGCAGTTTCCATTGGTTGTACTCTAAACCACATGTGTTTTCCATGGAGATCTTTTTTTTTAAAAAAACCCTAGGTTATGTAATTATGAGAACAAAGTTTGAGTCCAGTGGGGCACCTTTAAGACCAACAAAAAAAAATTCTGGGTATAAACTTTCATGTGCATGCACACTTCTTCAGTAATCTAAGGAAGTATTGCATGCAGACGAAAGCTTATACCCAGAATTAAACTGTGTTGGTCTTAAAGGTGCCGCTGGATTCAAACTTTGTTCTGCTGCTTCAGACCAACATGGCTACCCCCCCCCCGAATCAATGTAATTATGAATACAACAAGATTGTGAATGAGAGCTTTGCCACCTTCCCTTTCCTACACCCCTTATCCCAATGCCAAACAACCCTGGAAGGATGGGGACCCTCAGGAATGGGACAACGTATAATGTAGGGACCTGCATCAAGAAGGGAGAATCCATGGGACATATCTCTACCTGTTGCATGGAGAAAGAAAGAAAAACAGTTTGCAAATATGCATATACATGCCCCTCCACCCAGGATTCCATAAATCCTCAGTGGTTTAAGCAGGCTAATTTGCCTTACCCTCTTTTCTTACATTTAATTTACTTCCAACACTGTTTACTTTCTAGAGCATGCTCAATCCATGTCAGGAGATGGGGGGTGCTTTATTAAAGGCCTTGACTTGACAGTTGGACATCAAAGTGTATAATGTCATGGGGCAAGAGACATAGTGCCCTCTTAGCCAAAGTTAATCCACTCTGAGCCCCTTGAAATCAATTACCTTAGACTGGAGTAACTCTGGATAGGATTGCAGCGTCAGTGTGGTTTTGGTTTAGAATTGTGGAGTAAGCTCAGCACTTGGTGCTTTTGTCTTATGATTAGTGTGAGAATGACCCATGGAAAACGGCGTGCTCTCATAATGACTTCTGTTTAGCCCATCAATTTGAACTGAACTAAAACTTGAAACAATGTGTAGTGTATTCAAAGCTGCCTTGAATGCATGATATGTTGTGAAACATCTAATTGAAGTGTAATGTAAAGTTTCGTCCTGGGCTAGGATCCAAATCCATCCAATCGTGTTACTAGCCCAGGAAGCACCTAACCAATCACTTTCAAGCAAGCTCCCTGAGCAGGAACATCCGTGAGTGGTCCTTATGTGAACAACCATATTGGTTGGTAATTGTACAGTGGGTACATTAGCCGGGAATGTTTAAAAGCAGGACAGCTGCAATGTAAAGGCTGTTTTGGCTATCAGATGTTGATCCGTGTTGGAGTTGTGTTCGAGTTGAAGAATAAAGTTGTGTTCTTGCTGAATCATTCTCCGACTGCTTGTTAAGTGAGTGACTTAACACAATGTATGCCTGTGGGTGGAATCCTGACCTGGATAGCCCAGGGTGACCCGGTCTCGTTAGTTTTCAGAAGCTAAGCAGGGTCAGCCCGGGCTAGTATTTGGATGGGAGACCTACAAGGACTATCAGGGTTGTGAAGGAGGCAGGCAATGGCAAACCCCCTGCAAATGTCTCCTGCCTTGAAAACCCAACAGGGGATGCCATAAGTCAGCTGTCACTTGACGCCACTTTCCACCACCATGCCTGTGGGACATCTACTGCCAACTGTACACAGATCTTTTCAAATGCCATCTATTTTGTGAAGGACTGCTTATGTCTTCAGTCTGTTTCCTTTTCTGTGTAGGGTGAAGATGGAAAACCAGGATCCAACGGCAGCCCAGGAGAACGAGGCCCACCAGGTGCACAGGGTCCTCCTGGACTTAGTGGAACACCTGGAGAATCAGGCAGGGATGTAAGAAACCTTTTAAATATGATATTATTATTAGTTCTGACTTGGAGATCAACAATCTCATGACGCACAGAGTGCTTTCACACACACCAAATAACGCACTTCGAATCCACTTCCAATGCACTTACAGTCATCGCTTGCAAGTGGATTTTGTGTTTTGCGCAGAAAATTCCAGTTGCAAGGTGCACTAGAAGTGGACTGAAAATCCATGATTCAGACTGTGTGAAAGTGCTCATAGTAATATCATGCTCTATACCAGGGGTTCCTATTGTGGACCCTGTGGGTGTCATCTATCTGAAAATATAGCTTCAAGGGAGTTAAAACTCTTGGTAAAAAGACTCAAGGAATAGACATGCTTAGTTTGGTCTAGTTTGGTGTAGTGGTTAAGAGCGTTGTCTCTAATCTGGGAGAACTGGGTTTAATTTCCCCACTCCTCCACATGCAACTGCTGGGTGACCTTGGGTCAGTCACAGTTCTCTCAGAGCCATTCTCTCAGAAGCTCTCTCAGCCCCACCTACCTCACAGGGTGTCTGTTGTGGGGAGAGGTAGGGAAGGGGATTGTAAGCCGCTCTGAGACGCTGGGGAATTTCACATTACCCAGTTTCACCCGGTTTCAAGCCGGCAATCATCTGTTTTGAAGTGAACCGGTACAGGGCTGCCATTTCACACAGGGCTTGCCCCTACCGGAAATGAGCCGGATCAGAAGCGGTTTGGCATTTCAGACTTGCAACGCTTTGTTTTCCCGCCATTTTCCTCCTGCGCGGGTGATCGATTTTTTTTAAAAAATATTCGATTTATAGCACTATAGCGTATCGGAACCGGGAGAGGGCACTTGGAAGTGGATGACAGGTAAAACGCTTCAGCCCCGGTTCCTAAACGGGACTGAAGCGTTTGTGTATGAAATGGCAAATAGATTCCGGAAGGGAACCGGTTCTCAAACGGGTCTGTCTGAAATGACAGACCAGAACCCATTTGAGAACCGGTTCCCTTTAGGAATCTATCGCCTGTCTGAAATTCCCCATGGAGTGAAGGATGTGTATAAATCCAATCTTTTCTTCTTCTAGTATTTATGTTTCACTTCTAGTATTTATGTTTCTGTTCCTTCTGTTGTTTTAATCTTGTGCTTAAACACATATGAACCTGTCTTTGCAAGGGTAACCCTGGACAAGATGGCGTGCCGGGCCGTGATGGATCTGCAGGACCAAAGGTGAGAAGATGCCGTAAACTCCAGAACATGTGCTCTACAGACCTTCAATAATTTTGGTTGGCCCTAAGTAATACTGGAGTTTGCCAAAGATTGACTGATGTGTCATGTGGTAAACAAATGCATGGCTCACATTTGTCCTGATTGTTTTCTCCTCAGGGTGATCGAGGTGAAAATGGCTCCCCTGGTGCACCGGGGCTTCCTGGCCATGTTGGCCCCCCGGGGAATGCTGGTCAACCTGGAAAAGCAGGTGACAGAGGAAATCAAGTAAGTGTAAAAACAATGTTGAATTACCGATATGGGCAGTTTAGCCTGCCACATTCGGTATGCATAACGAATAGCATCATATCTAAGAGAAACCGCTACTGTTTCCCCTTTTTAAAATGAAAACAAGACTGACTGAGACATGTTTTCATTAGTAACTGCATGGCATGGCATTCACAGACCTGGGTTATGCTGGAAATGGCTGCCCATGATCGGAACAACCCCATCCTTGAGAAATATTGTGATAGAAACAGATTGTAGCTGCTTCGTGTTGAGGCAAATGCCACTCGCATCCACATACTGTTGGGAATTGTGCCATAGCAGACAATGTGGAATTTCACATTACCCAGTTTCTCCCGGTTTCAAGCCGGTATTCTTCCGTTTTGAGGTGAACCGGTACAGGGCTGCCATTTCACACATGGCTTGCCCCTACTGGAAACCAGCCAATTCAGAAGCGGTTTGGCATTTCAGACATGCACCGCTTTGTTTTCCCGCCGTTTTCTTCCCGTGCGGGTGATCGATTTTTTTTTAAAAAAACGTTCTATTTATAGCGCTATAGCGCTATAGCAGTATAACAAAACACTCCATGCATTCCAATGGGACTGATATAGTGCTATTCTGTTATAGCGTTATAGCCCTATAACGCTATAAAGCGAACGTTAAAAAAAAACCAGCCGGAGATCGCCCGCACGGGCGAAAAAAGGCGGGGAAAAAGCGTATCCGAACCGGGAGAGGGAACTGGAGACTACTCAGAAGCAGTTGACAGGTGAAACGCTTCAGTCCCGGTTCCTAAACGGGACTGAAGCTTTTGTGTGTGAAATGGCAGTTACATTCCGGTAGGGAACCGATTCTCAAATGGGTTCTGTCTGAAATGACAGACCAGAACCCGTTTGAGAACCTGTTCCCTACCGGGAGATATCACCTGTCTGAAATTCCCCATTTATAACTGGGTTTTCTCATCCACGCGGGAAAATCCACTTGTGAATGATTCCTGTGGTTCCATGACAGTGGACACAGGAATGCAGGGTATTAGCAAGAAGTCAGCAGATTCAGAGAGAGATTGTTCAAAGTGATCTTGCTTGTTCACTCAGTAATAGTTCAGCATATGATGGACTCTTCCAGACAAACCAGTTCTACCTAGTTCCCACTATCTAGCAATGCATGGGGGGGGGGAGGTAAAATCTGAACATCTCTTTGATCAGGGATTTCCGTAGCATTCCAAATGAGGTGGTTGTCCGCAATGCTGTTTACTGTGGAATGCAAAAAAAAAAAGGCCCCACAAAAACCCAGACAAAACAAAACTGCATTTTAGAGTGAAAATTCCACAACTTAATCCAGCAGGAAACATCAAACCAATCTACGGCTGTGATCACACACACAATTAGACCCGACCTAGGTGTGAATGCCGGGTGGACAACATCTGGGAAGCGCCCCGCAGCTGTCGGCAACCTGTTCTGCTCCCACAGCAGAAGCGGAGTTAAAATACACCAGGGAAAATCTGGTAGTAAACAGGTTGCGACAGGCCACGGACGGACTTTCCCATGTCTGATCGCTCCAGCGTGGTCTCATGATCAGGCCATTCCAACTCCTTGCCATTGTTTCTTTCCCCCTTTGTAGTATGTGCATAATCGCAAACTCCATAGGGAGCCCTTGATGCTGAGGTGCAATTCATCAATCCCTCGGTTAAGCACATGGGGGGAAAACGGCACACACACAAAAATGACTCACCCACAGTTGCGTCTGATCATGCACTGACGGACTGCACCCACAGCTTCAAAGGGAGGTGTGATTGTGCAACTGCGGGTAAAATTCCTCCGGAGGAAATAGCCACACTTCCCCCCCCCCATTTTTTCTGGCCTGTGTGACTGCAACCTACGTGTGGCTTCTTGTGAACCACAATGGGATGTAGATGTTTGTGAAATTGTTACTCACAGAAGCAGCCTTTTAAGTCATATCCTAGACTACATTTGATAATGGAGGCTGGGGTGTGACTATTCTTCCTCTTCTCTGATTTAGCACATCTCAATTTTTTCTCAAAGGGAAGAGTATAATTGTAAGGTAAAGGTAAAGGTTCCCTTGCTCGAAAGCCAGTCGAGTCCGACTCTAGGATTGCGGTGCTCATCTCCGTTTCAAAGTATAATTGTACCTTCTAATAAATGTCCATTTTGGTCATTGTCTTGACTCAGTTTGTGTCATCCACTTGAAGAAAGGCAGATTATAAATAATGTAAATACATTTTAAAAAATAAAATAAATTCCTGTTTTCCCACAGGGTCCTGCTGGTCCTGTTGGCCCCTCTGGCCCTGCTGGCATTCGTGGTGCTCCTGTAAGTCCCCACTTCTGAATTAACAATGCTTCCTACATTGAGAGTCCTACCATTTCATGCATTTTAACTCTTCATCAATGTTTCAAAAGGGCCCCAGTGGTCCACGCGGCGATAAAGGTGAAGCTGGAGAACGTGGCCTCAATGGAATCAAGGGTCATCGAGGATTCCCTGGTAATCCAGGACCTCCTGGTTCAGTTGTAAGTTTTTAGCATTTTATTGGTTGGCATAACTTTTTTTTTATTCTTTAAGTGCAGGATTTTTCACAAGATCCCAGAACTAAATAACTTGGCCAGATTGCAAAGTGGGCTAGAAATGATTCCATTAGATTTGCAATAAAGTGGTTATACTTTAGAACATAAGAACATAAATAGAGCCCTGTTGGATCAGACCAATGGTCCATCATATCCAGCAATCTGTTCTGACAGTGGCCAACCAGCTGCCTCTAGGAAGCACACAAACAAGATGGCCGCACCATCCCTCCCTTTTTGGTGTAATGGTTAAGTGCGCAGACTGGGAGAACCGGGTTTGATTCCCCACTCCTCCACTGGCTGGATGACCTTGGGCAAGCCGTAGTTCTGATAAGAGTTGTTCTTGAAAAAAAGAGCAGTTTCTGTCAAGAGCTGTCTCAGCCCCACCTACCTCACAGGGTGTCTGTTGTGGGGAGGGGAAGGGAAAGGAGTTTGTAAGCCACTCTGAGACTCCTCTGGGTAGTGAAGGGCGGGGTATAAATCCAATCTCTTCTTCTTCTTCTTCTTTTTCTTCTTCTTCGCAAGGAGCCTTTCTCTGACACAAGGGGCATTTGCCTCAGAGTAACGCTCCCTGTAACAGAGGAAGAAAGTCCAATGGTCCTAAATCCATTGGGATGTGTTAGCTGTGAATAGATTAAGTTTCATTAACTCCATGTCCAAGGGTGTCCCTCCTACCCCTCCTACCTCCAACAGTGAGAGACCTCTGGGTGTCCTTCCTCTTTTCTACCCCAATGGCATGGGGGTGCAGACAGGGGCTGTAACACGATCACAGGACTCCATGGGGCACATGGTCTGGCAAGAAAGGAGACCCAGTAGGGGTCAGTGGTCTCTGGACTCTGCTCTGGAGGACTCAAACTCAGACACTTCAGTTGGGCTGAAGTGCAACTACATTTCATGGAACTGAACCCTATATCAGTTTGAGACTCCAGGGAGCAATCCTTTATGACACCACAGTCCTGAAATCAAAAGTAAGCCACAAATAGTCATTTTAAGACCATTGATACAGTCATAAGAAATGAAAATACTATTTTTAAAGGTAGTTAAGAGCGCTAAAGTGTGTCAAACCATGCCTGGGGTTGGGGTGGGGCTGTGGCTCAGTGGAAGAGCCTCTGATTTGCATGCAGAAGTCCCAGGTTCGGTTCCCGGCATTTCCAGTTAAAGGACCAGGCTGGTGATGGGAAAGACCTCTGCCTGAGACCCTGGAGAGCTGCTGCCAGTCTGAGTAGAAAACACTGACCTTGATGGACTGACGGCCTGATTCAGTATGGCAGCTTTATTTGTGACCTCGAGTGGCATCACATCTGACAATCTAAAAAGAACATGAATGCAGAAAATAGAAAATCACATTACCTGTACTTCCCATTACAGTGCAATATTTTCCAGTACTACCAAAATGATAATTCCTGTTATGGAAGGAATTATCCTCAGAATTTTCTCTCCAAAGGTAAATTCTGTGTTCCACATAACTGTTTTGTACTAAAACAATTATGGGGAATATACCCTGACGTCGATAGCCCAGGCTACCCCAATCTCGTCAGATCTCGGACGCGAAGCAGGGTTGGCCCTGGTCATTATTTGGATGGGATACACCCAAGGATACCAGAGTCACGATGCAGAGGCGGGCAATGGCTACCCACCTCGGAGTCACCTCTTGCCTTGAAACCCCTACGGGGTCACCACAAGTTAGCTGTGACTTGATACCAAATAAATAACAACCAACCTTTTAATATTGAGAGTTGAAGGCCAGACCTTAGGCCCAGGAAAGCAGTTGAGCACCGATGTATTCCTGTGCAACAAACCTTATGTTAGCGAGCAGGGCTCTTTATGTAGAAAAAGCCCAGCAGGAACTCATTAGCATAATAGGCCACACCCAACAGCAGAAACTCATTATCATATTAGGCTACACCCCTGACAGCACTGCTTTTTAGCACATTAGGCCACACCCCCATGTTACCAGAAGTGTGGTCATCCAGCCACACCCACCTTTCCCTTCTTATTCTGTTTACCTTGTTTACCTAATGAGTTTCTGCTGTTGGGTGTGGCCTATTATGCTAATGAGTTCCTGCTGGGCGTGGCCAACTCAGGAGCCAGCCGGAACTCCATTCCTGTGCGTTCCTGCCTTAAAATAGCCCTGTTAGCGGGACTTATGTTATGCTGTTCTTGTCTTTACAGGGTGCGATGGGCCCCCAAGGTCCAAACGGAAGCCCAGGACCTGCCGGAGCAAGAGTAAGTAACCCTTTCTAAACTATGTCTAGAGAGTTAAGGGAGAGCGACTGAATGCCACTCCTATGTTTGTTTGTTTAGATACGAACTCAGTTATAGGCCCACTTACCTTCCTAGTGGCAGAGACCTAAAATGGGCAGCGGGATATTTTTTAAAATGTAGAAAAATGCATGTATCACACAGAAGGCAGAAAGAACCAAATTATGGATTTCCCTCTAACCCCTCTATCACTGTCATTCGCCACCAGGTCTGTTTGGAGGGTGTTCCCCCACTGACCCTCCTTTTTGTGTGTATGTTTTAATGGTGTGTGTCTTGTTCCACTGTTGTTTTTGATTATTTTTATGCTGTGTGTTTGAAAAGCTGCTTTTAATGACTTTGATTGTTTGCCCGCCTTGAGGACCCAGAAATAGATGGAAAGGTGGCATTAAAATGTCCTAAACGGACAAGCAAACAAGTCCATAGCAGTGCTTCGCAATCCATGCAGAATGCCGATAACATCTCATTTCTTGCGCTGTTTAGGGCCCCCCTGGACCTAATGGCCCTCCCGGAAAGGACGGCACAAGTGGCTACCCTGGCCCCATTGGTCCTCCAGGTCCCCGTGGAACCCGAGGCGAAGCCGGAACAGCGGTAAGGGAGCTAGGGTAGTGAAAAATTATCTATTTCATTGATACCCCACACCTTCTCCCCACAGAAGACTCGGGATGACTTACGACATTTAAAAATACAATAGATACAAATACAGCACAAATATAAACAAATTCAATAAATAGAACAATAAAACATCGACTTAATCAGCAAATTATTTGGAGAATGAAAACAACTGATCAGCTCCCTGGTTCGTAACATGAAACAAAGGCCACATGAAACAAAGCAGCCTTACATGCCCCACTGAAAGCTGGAAGATCCCACGAGGCACAAATTTCCCCATGGGAGCTGATTCCAGAGAGGAGGGGCAACCAATGAACATGCCCTTGTCCTGGTGGTTGACAAGCGGGCAATTCACTGGCCAGGAACGTGTGTAAGGCCCTGCAATAATTATCTAACGAGGTCAGGGCTCTTTTTGTAGAAAAAGCCCAGCAGGAACTCAGTAGCATAATAGGCCACACCAAAGAGCAGAAATTTATTAGCATATTAGGCCACACCCCTGCCAGCACAGCTCATTAGCACATTAGGACGCACCCCCATGTTACCAGAAGTGTGGTTATCCAGCCACACCCACCTTTTGCTTGTTATTCTGTTTACCTTGTTTGTTGTCAAAACCCAGGGCCTTTTTTTGTAGCAGGAACTCCTTTGCATGTTAGGCCACACACCCCTAATGTAGCCAATCCTAATGAATTTCTGCTGTTGGGTGTGGCCTATTATGCTAATGAGCTCCTGCTGGGCTTGGCCAACTTGGGAGCCAGCAGGAACTTCGTTCCTGTGAGTTCCTGCTCAAAAATAGCCCTGGAGGTAACAGAGGGGTCATACTGGGAGAGGCGGTCCGCTTTCAGGCTCTGCCCTTGAGAAATGCCCTGAAAGCTATATTCTGTATGTCAATGCGCTTCAGCAACTAAGACTAGCAAATACCATGACAATGTGCAGAATATATCAAGAAAATATATTTAAAGAAAATATATTTAAATCATTTCCAAATAAACTTTTTTTTTCTATTTTAAGCCACTTATACTAATTTAAGCAGGCGTCTTAAAGAACAATGGCAAAGAAAGTTATTTTTTTAACAATGCTAAGTACAAACAAAACATGCAACGTGTTTGTATGTCTGTGTACAATAGTACAAACTTCTCAATGAAAAAATGCCAAAGACTTGCTTAAACATATAAAAATGAAACTATTAATGCTGAACTCAAAATGATTTTGACAAAGTTTCTGAATATTTTCTCTTTGTTTTGAAGTATCCCTTCTTCAAAAATAACAGCTCTCTCTTGCATGAAGCAATGGAATTGACATATATTATTCAACCCTTTTAGTATAGGAATCCACGTAGATGAGGTGCTACCATTCTAGTCTAAAGCCAAGTCAATCAGACAGAATGAGCAAAAGATGATAAATTCAGACAAGTGAGATGAAGTACACACTAAAGTATAGGCTATGTGTGCCACAGTGTCAGTCTTATGGGCCCTTTTGTATGTTGTATGCAATGGGTTTTCGTGGCCTTGAATTCCATTTTACCCTCATATAACAACCTGAAAAACAGGCTAGGCTGAGAGAACAACTTGCCCAAGGACAGCAAGTAAACTTTATGGTCCAGGCAGGAATTTGAAGAAAAAGAAGAGTAGGTTTATATACGCCACTTTTCTCTACCTTAAGGAATCTCAACGCGACTTACAATCTCCTTGCCTTCCTCTCCCCACAACAGGCAACACGTGAAGTAGGTGGGGCTGAGAGAGTTCTGAGAGAACTGTGTGACTGGCCCAAGGACACCCAGCAGGCTTCACATGCAGGAGTGGGGAATCAAACCCGGTTCTCCCGATTAGAGTCCGCTGCTCTTAACCACTACACCATGTTGTCTTTGAACACAGGTCCACACATCTACATCTAACCCAGTGATCCACAACATGTTTTTTATTTTATACCCACTTTCTTCTTCCCTAAAGCAAAGAACCAATCCTGGCCTTCCTCCACCACTTTGGAGCTGGTGGGAGGGTAGCCAGCCTCCAAGTGGGGACTGGAGATCTCCTGGAATTACAGCTGAACTCCAGATGACAGAGATCAGTTTCTGTGGAGAAAATGGGCTGCTTTAGAGGGTGGACTCTGTGGTGCTATACCCTGCTGAGGTCCCTTCCCTTCCTGGTTTCTAAATCTGTGGGAATTTCTCAACCTGGAGTTGGCAACACTAACTGGAGGTGCTTCAGATGAGCCTTTGTGTCTGCAGGGAGTATCCATTCAGAAACCGTTGCCTTTACTGTAGGAGGCAGCTTGCCTTGCAATCTCCTAACATTTGTGATTGGCACTAGCTTCCATGACAGCGGCGGCCATTTTGTACTTGGTTGTGTCTTACGGCTGCCAGCCTCCAGGTGGTAGTTGGAGACCTCCCGCTATTACAACTAATCTCCATGTGACAGTAGGGTTGCCAAGTCCCCCCGGGGGGTGGATTTCCCCCCGCTTTGGAGGCCCGATTTCCGCCCCCGTGGAATCGGGCCCCAGGGGAAACCCCACCCCCACGTGCACGTCACCCGGATGTGACATCATGACGCCGGGCACGCTGGGGGCGGGGCCACAGCTATTTGAGGGGAAAACATAGAGTTTTCCCCTCAAATGGCAGCCACACACGCGCGTGCACGCACTCAGGACGCCGGGCAGGAGCCCCCCGCCACCAGGTAAAAAAGATTTGGCAACCCTATGTGACAGAGATCAGTTCACCTGGAGAAAATGGTTGCTGTGGAAGATGGACTCTATGGCATTATAACCCATTGAATTCCCTCCCCTCCCCAAACCCCACCCTCTTCAGGCTCCAGCCCTAAAACTTCCAGGTATTTCCCAACCTGGAGCCGGCAACTCTACTGTGCCCCATGGCGGCCATTTTCTGCCGGTTCAAGGTCTATTGGAGCCTCAACCCAACCCGCTGGAGGAAGAAATATCTGTGGCATGTTATGATGTTTTGTGGGTGTCTTTGCTGACAAAGTCGCTCTTATCTGGTCTGAGTTGGACTCCAGTTTACTTAGAGAGAACCCATACCAGACTCATCAGTAGTGACTGTTTGTTGCTGTTGCTTAGTTCCCTTTATTTGCTCCCTGATACCGACAGATTGCTGGAAGTTGTGAAACCCACCATTTGCAAGTGAGATCTTTGATCATAGCTGATCAGATTATGGCAAGAGGAACTGAGACAGCCGCTGGCCATAGTGATGAATACCTCTTTGCTGAGGGGATAACTTCCACATGTACTTTAGGAGACAATGGTGTGAGCTCCTTAGACAGAGAAGACTCACCTGGTCTGTTTCTTATATCTCTATTTGAGCAAGAAGGTAGAGCATGTAGTGACAAAGCAATGTCAGGGTTTTATGGGTGATAACATAAACACAGCAGGGTGGTGTCTGGAGCCCTGTGGAGTCTGCTGGTGTATTTCCTGGCATTTGTTTGCTTCTTGAATCTCCGGGATGAAATTGAAAGGCTCTGGCATGGAGCAGAAAACAGGAGCGAGCTTTGTGTCACTTTTTTTATCAGCAGCAAAGTGTCTGACAAAGTGTTGCACTTATCCCAGGATGGTGCAAAACAGCTGCCAGCCCTAAGCTTAGTTACAGACACAAACTTTCTTCTGTCTGTTGGCTTAAAAATATCTCCCTGGGACTGTGCAGGGAGCATATCTTTCAACTTTCAGAGGAAGCAATTGAAACTAAACAGTGTTTCTTCCCCAAAGCAAAGAGCCAAGCCTGCCCCAATGGCAGCCATTTTGGTGTCAAAATTCCAAGATGACCTACAGACGTCTCAAAATTCCAAGATGACCTACAGATGCAACAAAGTTAGGGATTCCTATGTTAAATTATTTAAGGCCCCTGCCACACGGCAGGGAAAACACTGGGCAAAGCGCGGCTTCTAAAAGCCGCACCAAAAAAGAGACGCCGCAGTGGGATCCCACGATCCCCTGAGCCGTGGCGCCGTTGCTCCCCAGCACGATCAGATGCCGGGGAGGAAGAGACGAGGGGGAGGGGGAGGCTGCCGAACTGCGCATGCTCCAGCATGCGCAGTACGTCTGGGGGCCGAGATGCGGCAGCGCAAGGACGCGCCGCCCGATCCCAGGACCCACGTTGAGCCGCTTCAAGGGATACAACCACCTAGGTAGGTGGTGCTTTTTTGCAGCGCGGTATCGGCGTTTGGGATGGAACAGGGACGGGCAGGCAATGATTCCCAGATGTTGCCGTGGGATCGTGCCCTTTTTCTCCGCCCCCGTTCCATCCCGCTCCCGGCCCAAAAGGCCTCGTATGGACAGGACCAGGATTTTGAGACAGCGCAATTGTTTTACGAATAGAGCAGGGGGTACGTTGAACAAAAACAACGTACTTAGCTTGGTACAGAAGGAGAGATGATTTTATGGCCGTGCTGCTATGCCTGGTGGCAAGGGAGAAGACAATGAGCATGACTGATGCCCATCATCACTGCCATGGCCCAGATGGCCATCAGATGGGTCTGAGGTGAGCCCTTGAGGCACTGGCAGCACTCCTGTTCCATCTGACAAAGTATAACCTTGATCACAATTGCATCAACACAAAAACATCTTTCCAGTTGACATTGTATGTTTTTTGACACTTACGTCAAAAGGTTACGTACTCCTGGTACAGAGTCATTTCCATAGGTTCACAGTATTCCCACAGTGCAGACTAGGAATGGGTATGAACTGCAAAAATGCAGTTCATTTCGGTTTACGGTTCGTGGCCAAACCACGAATCAAACCAGAGGCTCCCAAGCGAACCAAACTGGTTTGTGATTTGTGTCCTCCAGCAAACCTCATTGAAAGGAACTGCAGTCCCTTTAAACAGGCTTTTGTGGGGAGCAGAAAGCAGGGGTTTAAAGGGGACTCTGAGTCCCTTTAAACCCCTGCTTTTTGCTCTGTCCATGAACTGCCACAAACTACATTATCAGTCCATGGATGTTCGTGATGGTAGACCCATCACGAACTTTGGTTTGCAAACAGCGAACAGAACAAAATTCATGATGAATTTTGCTTGTGGTTTGGTCCGTATCCATCCCTAGTGCTGACTCAGAAACTTTGTACTTTTGTGTGTGTTTGTTTGTTGCAACATACACGCCATCTGAAGAATAACCCAGTCCCTGCACCTTCTTGTTTTGTGTCACTACAGGAGAGTACTGGATCGATCCTAACCAAGGTTGTAAACTGGATGCTATTAAAGTGTTCTGCAATATGGAAACTGGTGAGACATGCATCAATGCCAACCCCAGAAGTATTCCGCAGAAGAACTGGTGGACAAGCCCAGGACCAGAAAAGAAGCACGTTTGGTTTGGAGAGTCCATGAACGGTGGCTTCCAGGTGAGGAGAATGATAACCTTTGTATCAGAAGAAGTGAGTAATGACTCACAAAAGCTCACACCCTACCACAAAGTTAGTCCTTAAGGTGCGAGTGAACTCTTGCTCTTCTCTACTGCGACGGACAGACTAACAGATCTATCCATCTTAACCTTTGTCCCTGTCACCTTGACCAGAGAGGGTATTTCAGTGCCTTCTCAGCAAAGCTAACTCTTTTGTATTTCTTGGTCATTGAACGACTCAATCTCAAGGCCGGTTTGCCCAAAGGAGCTCCTTTTGTGTCTCTGCTGCAGTTCAACTATGGTGACCCCGAGCTCCCAGAAGAAGTTGCAGATGTCCAGCTGGCATTCCTTAGGATCCTCTCCAGTCGAGCCTCACAGAACATCACCTATCACTGCAAGAACAGCATCGCTTATATGGATGAGGCCAGCGGGAACGTGAAAAGGGCCCTGAAGCTCATGAGCTCCACCGACAGCGAAATCAAGGCAGAAGGAAACAGCAAATTCACATACAGTGTGCTGGAAGATGGATGCACTGTAAGGACACAAAACTTTAGCACCTTTCCTTTGTTTGGTTTTTTAAGAGTGACTCGATACATTTTGCCGTTATAAAACCCCAACACCCAGTTTAAGCCTCTGGACTGTCTAGGGAACAGTCCTGGTCTTCAACAGTGGTACTTAGAAGTGGGCAAATTCCCCCAAGGGAGTCGGCTACTCCTCTTTTATCCATACTAAAATTACTTCCAGCAATAGAGTTCTTGCTCTTGCTTAGGGTTCGGGCTGCCAACTCTGCCACGGGAATCTAGGAATCCCCCAGAAACTCTATGGTAAGAACTTCTGGTTTTACAACAGAGTTTCCATAAACTCCTAGAGCTACCATTTGTCATTTTCGAGTAGCTCTAGGATTAACCAGGAATTCTATGGTCAGAATTTCCTGTGAGCAGATGAGGCCTTATTTTTTGTTTTTCATTTTTCACACAGGATGCTGGCTCCCTCACAACCCTCCCGCCTGGCAACCTTAGTGACAGTTAAGAAATGGGGCCAAATGGAAACCACTTTGCTTCCTCTGCAAAGTTTTATGAGGAGCGATGTCTATTTGGAGCTCACTGAGGGGAGGGGTTTCCATAGAGTAGGGAGGAGGTAGATGCCAGTAGATAGAATCATAGAATCATAGAGGTGGAAGGGGCCACGCAGACCATCTAGGCCAACCTCCTGCCCAATGCAGGGCCAGCAAAGAACATCTCTGACAAATATTCGTCCAGCCTCTTCTTGAAAGCTGCCAGTGAAGGGGAGCTCACCACCTCCCTAGGCAGCTGATTCCACCTTTAAACCACCCTGACCGTGAAAAAGTTTTTCCTAATATCCAGCCTTTCTGCATGTAACTGAAACCCGTTGCTTCAGGTCCTCTCCTCTGCTGCCGACTGGAACAGCTCCTTGCCCTCCTCCAAATGGCAGCCTTTCAGATATTTAAAGAGAGCAATCATGTCCCCCCTCAGCCTCCTCTTCTCCAAACTAAACATTCCCAAGGCACTTAGCCTGATCATTCTTGTTGCTCTCTTCTACTATCTTATCATTGGTAGCCCAGCTTCCCTCCAGTTTTGTGCACACTGTTTATTTATTTATTCATTTGTTTGTTTGTTTAAAACATTTTTATGCTGCCTTTCTACCTGACCAGGATTCACAAGGCAGCAAACATTTTTTAAAAATTTAAAATTAGGCAGTCTGGTGTAGTGATTAAGTGCACTGACTCTAATCTGGGAGAACTGGGTTTGATTCCCCACTCTTCCACTTGCACCTGGCTGGATGACCTTGGGCAAGCTGTAGTTCTGATAAGAGCTGTTCTTGAAAAAGAGCAGTTTCTGTCAGAGCTCTCTCAGCCCCACCTACCTCACAGGGTGCCTGTTGTGGGGAGGGGAAGGGAAAGGAGTTTGTAAGCTGCTCTGAGATACCTTTGGGTAGAATCTCCTCTTCTTCTTCTTCTAAAATATACTTAAAATTATTAAATCATTTGATTTAAAGCACATAAACAGCACTAGAAGGAGAGCCAGTAGCCATTATTCAGGGTATACACAATGATGAAAACAACCGTGATGTAGTATTATGAAAATATATTTAGACTGCTTTTTCTAAGTGTGCTGCATAAAAGTAACATTAGTTTACACGTCACTGAAATGAGAGGAAAAACAATTACAATCAAGTAACTTAGAAAAAGCTGTCATGTGAAACAGTAGTATATGCATATTCCGTTGTGTGCGTGCATGCGTACATCTTTATTACATGCTGAAGAAATACTACTCACTGCAAAACAGCAGTCTAAATATATTTTCATAATACTACATCACGGTTGTTTTCATCATTGTTTGCATCCTTCCCATGATCTCTCTGTTGTTTCTACATTATTTGGGGTATGCCAGACGAAACCAAAAAGATTTTCTGATAACAGGCATTTCCAAAAGACTCCCCCCCCCATAGATGTAACAAAAAGAGACTTTTCCCCCATAGCCACTGCATTGCTTTGAATGTCTGGTATTCAGACTTGTGTTTATTATTTTTTTAAAAAACTTTCTCTGCCACATGGGTCTAGCAGTATGCACTGGATATCGCCAAGTATCCCTGAGTTGTATACTGAAAAAGTATCTTCACATTGCTTCAAACCAGGGCTTTTTCCCTGGGGGAATGCACAGGAACAGAGTTCCAGAACCTCTTTGAAAAATTCTTTTTAAAATGTTTAAAAGTTTGTGAGTTTTCAGTATACAGACTGAAAACTTCCTTTCCCTCTTGAGAGTTCCGGCTCCTCTTTTAAAAAAAACAAACGAAAAAAGCCCTGCTTCAAACAGATTTTAAATTGCGGCATACTGTGAAATAATGTTATGTGGAGAACTATAGCCATTGTGTTCTCCTTCAAAAATCCATATCAAAGGAAGATGCAAGCAAAAAAAGTCACTTGTACAGAGACCTTAGTCTCCATGGCAGCCATTTTGTGGTGGCATTCCTTTGCCTGTTCTGAAGACTAAAATGGAGCCAAAAGGTCAGGTACCTCGGTTTGAACATTAAGGGCGGGCAGCTGGATGACAGTGACAAAGACGTGCAACTTAAATGTAGGATATTGCTTTGCCAGCTGAAGAAGGAACTTAGAGTTACTTCAGATGTGGTGAGAGATGAAGCAGAAGGAGATATTTCTTTCCGCCCAAGCTTCCAGGTCCTGTGTGCACCTCTGTTCCCACATCTGAGGAACCAACATTTCCCCACAGTAAATGCCTCTGCAGAGAAGAGTTCCCTCATGCTTTCTCTCACACTGCTTTTGTAGTGAGTCTAATTTAAAAAGAAAAAAACTCTAAGAGAATGTTTTTAATGTGATTTCCTCTTTTCACATTCCACAGAAACACAGCGATGAATGGGGCAGAACAGTCTTCGAGTACCGAACACGCAAGACAATGAGGTTGCCCGTGATAGATATTGCACCCTTCGATATTGGCGCTCCCAATCAGGAATTTGGTGTGGACATTGGCCCAGTTTGCTTCTTATAAAACCAAGAATAATGCTCATTCCGAACCCCAACAAACCAATTCACGCTCCATCTTTGCTCTTCTCGTTTTAAACCTTATCAACTAGTAGAACCAAATCAACTTTGTCCCAGTTATTTATTTACCAAAATTCTGGAGGGGGGAAAAGAAGAGAAAGAGATAAATTGACGTAAAGGGTTACCATTTTCTGACTCCGCTCGTACAACAAAAACGCCATTTGCTCTGTTTTCTTTCACCCAAATCCCACTTCCAAACAAACAAACAAACAAAATATTGCTACATTACAACATCAACACTCAGTACAACATGAACTGTGTCATGTCAAATGAATGCTCACCCAACCCATCAAGCACTGACGGATTCCAGCATCCATGTTGACCTTGCGTTATCAGATGCAGTTCACAAAGCTAGAGAGGATTCCCTGTTTCAACTACCTCATCATGGACAGAAACTGGGATGAGTTGGATGATTCACACCAAGAAAGCCCAAGTGAAAGCAAGCTGGAACCAATGAATACATCTGGCTGTTTCTGTACTGATTTGTGGTTCAGCGAGTCCAGTGTATCAGAAGAAGCGAATGCCCTAGTGTCAACAGACTAATATAATTTTATTTCTGGACTGCATTGAAGTTTTCAAGGGTGCTCCTATACTTTCCTGTCATTGCTGGTCAAGACCACTAAAATTGAGGGAAGTGTAAAAGAATTAAATGTGATGGTGCTAAGTTGTGTGATTATTATTTTTTTTCACTTCTAAATCTGCAAGCCAGGTTTATTGACTTGCGTTTCGAACATCGAGGATTGACCACAATTGTACATGTCTCTCATCAAAAGTCATATCATCGGTAGGCCATGTCTGAGGACTTTCCTTCCTTCACTCTGTAAAACATCAATAAAGATGCAGAATCATGAGCTTCTTTTTTTTGTCACATTAACACATTTATCGTGTTGGAGGTTAACCATCTTTGTAAGCTTTTATATGGTTGTTGGTCTTTTCCTTACAGAGACAGACACATAATAAAATATTGTAATAAAAACTCCTCATAGTCACGAATATGCCTTACTAGTCACCTGGATGACCCAGGGGAAGCCCGATCTCGTCAGATCTTAGAAGCTAAGGAAAAAAAATAGAAGCTAAGCAGGGTCACCCCTGGTTAGTACTGGGATGAGAGACCGCCAAGAAAGTCCAGGGTCGCTACACAAAGGAAGGCAATGGTAAGCCACCTTGGTCCATCTCTTGTCTTGAAAACCCTATGGGGGTCACCAAACGTTGGCTGTGACATGATGAAATTCAATCATTGTCCGGTCCTGGATTGTCCAGGCTAGCCCTCTCATGTAGGCTAGCCCTCTCATGTCAGATCTTGGAAGCTTAGCAGGGTCTGGTTAGGACTTGGATGGGAGACCGCCAAGGAAGTCAAAGGTCGCTACACAGAGGCAGACAATGGCAAACCACCTCTTATTTATTTATTTATATTTACATTTATACCCCGCCCACCCTGTAAACAGGCTCTGGGCGGCTTGCAGAAGATGGCCAACAGGCTGATACAAATCAAACAAAATATTAAAATCCCTTAAAAACAATCTCTGCTCATCTCTTGCTTTCAAAACACTACGGGGTCAATATGAGTCAGCTACAACTTGACAGTACTTTCCACCACCAGTCATGCATTCATCATGACATTATCCGGTTAGAACAGATAAAAGGAAGTCCTTCTTCACCCTAAGAGTGATTAACACATGGAATTCACTGCCACAGGAAGTGCTGGCGGCTACAAGCATGGACGGCTTCAAAAGGGAATTAGATAAGCATATGGAGCAGAGGTCCATCAGTGGCTATTAGCCACAAGGTGTAGATAGGGGCTCTGGGGCAAGTGATGCTCTGTCATCTTGGTGCTTGGGGGGGGGGTCAACAGTGGGAGGGCTTCTAATGTCCTGGCCCCACTGGTGGACCTCCTGATGGCACTGGTATTTCTGGCCACTGTGTGACACAAGAGTGTTGGACTGGATGGGCCTTTGGCCTGATCCAACATTGGCGTCTCTTATGTTCTTCTGAACAAGGACACCCATCCCAAACAGCTGCTGTCTTGAATACTTATGGGGAGACACCATGACTCAGGGATCAAGGACATATTTTGCATATGGAATGTCCGAGGTTCAGTCCGAGCATCTCCAGTGAAAAAGAGATCAGGTTGTCAGTGTGGAGAAAGACTTTAGTCAAAAATATTACAGGGCTGATATCAGTCAGAGGGGGCAGCACCAAGCTAGATGGGTCAATGGGCTGAATCTGCAGAAATCGGCTTTGGATAATATTTATTATTAGTTTATTTATTTCATTGAACTTGTATCACACCCTCCCCACAAGCAGGCTCAGGGTGAGTTCCATCAATGTTAACATACAATAACAATTAAAACCATTTTAACACAGCAAGATCAAAACAATACAATAATCATAAAATACCACACAGGATCTATTCAATGACTCAGTAGCTAAAATAGAACAATACTGGGAGTTCCCAGGTGGCCGTTCAAATCCAGGAGACTGATGGGAGGCCAACCAAAGGGAGGGGGACGCCCACTGCCTCAACTGAAAGCCCAGCGGAAGAGCTCCGTCTTGCAAACCCTGCAGAATTGTAATAAATCCCACAGGGCCCTGATCTCATAACGGAGCTTGAAATGTAGTGGGTTCAGACGCATAGAGTGCCCAACTCATATTTATTTAGTGGTTTCAGCTCAAAAGTAAGACAAACTTGCCGGGTCAGAGCCCTGCTTATATTCGTGAAACACCCCACACCCAACACACATACCACATCCCACGATAGGCTATTTACAGCGTATTGTTTACCAATTGGCTACAACCAGGATCCGGATCAATCTATTGGTTCATTCTGGGATCCAAGCCTTCTATTGTGATGCGTTCCAAGCAACGGTATTCTGCATGTTTGCTAGCGAGTCCTTCCGCAAGTATGGTTCCATCGCGATATATAACAGAGCTCATTCCACCAGGTGGGGGCCGGGAAAGGCTCTGGCCCTAGTCAAGGCAAGTCAGACGTCCCTTGGGCCGGGGAACTACCAAAAGGTGTTGATTTGTAGACCTCAGTGCTCTACAGGGCTCATTATTAATTAATTAATATTAATTAATATTTACAGCAACAAAGTACACAGAATTTATATAGAACAACGTGCCAACAGAGACAGATCCCTCCTCTACAGAGCTTCCTATCGATATTTTGGCAGGGGAAAGGAACAAGAAACAGGGAAGCGGGATGGAAGACAGAACAAAAGCAGCTGTAGAAAAAGTGACATCATTTGGGTTGGGAATATGAGGACAGATTATTTGAAAGCCAGTGTTGTGTGGTGGTTGGGAAGCTAGAGTGGGAGATGGATGAAGCAGGATCCGGCCTCCATTTTGCCACAGAGCTCCCTAAGTAGGCTTGCCAAGTCCCCCCGGGGGGCGGGGAAAACCCCGCCCCAGAGGCCCATTCCCTGCTGCCACCGGATCACCCCGATGTGCACGTCACCAGGAAGTGATGTGATGACGCCGGGCATGCTGGGGGCGGGGCCACGGTCATCCGAGGGAAAACTCCATGGTTTCCCCTCGGATGGCCGTGGGCGCACCGCCAGTGTGCCCGGCGTCATTGCATCACTTCCTGGTAATGTGGATGCGGGGAGCGCGCGCGCTATGCGCGTGAGCTCCGTGATTGGCCTGGGGGTCCCCCACTGCGGAGGAAGGTAACACTTGGCAACCCTATCCCTGAGTGACCTTCTGTAACCAGCCACTCCGGGCGAACTCAGAGTTGTGGAATGGGTAGAATGGAAGAAGATAGAGGCCCCTGAGCTTTTTGAAGGAAGGATTAAAAGTGCGATTGTGTGGGGGAGAGCTTAGGCCAAAGAGGAGGGGTTTTAGGGGAAGCCTCCATCTTTTCTCTTGGGAAAAAAATATTCTGCTGCTGGTATGATTTTCCCCTAGGGAGGCCAGCCTCCAGGTGGGGCCTAGACACCTCCTGACGTTAAAACTGATCTCCAGACTACAGGGATCAATGTTCTTCTGGAGAAAATGGATGCTTTGGAGGGTGGACTCTTATAGCATTGTACCTCCACTGAGATAGGTCCCGGTCCTCCCCAGGCTCCACCCCACAAATCTCTAGAAGCTTCCCAACCTGGATCTGGCAACCCTAACCTCCCATCCCCCACTGGATGCCAGGGGGGACCTCGCAACCCAATTTCCCTCCCCCCTCTGTCCCCAGGAGAGAGCTTTGGATAATGCAGAGGCTCTATAGGTGGCCAGTCTGGGACAAAACATACCAGGCCCATAAGCTGCAATGCCTGGTGTGTGTCAACCTGCCTATGGGAATGTTGGGCCTGTATCCCCCCCACACACACACTACTTCTTCAGTACAGCGGTGTCCACAAACGCTGTCTCAGAGGGTGGCCTTGGAGGCATAGAAGAAGAAGAAGAGATTGGATTCATACCCTGCCCTTCACTACCCAAAGGAGTCTCAGAGCGGCTTACAAACTCCTTTCCCTTCCCCTCCCCACAACAGACACCCTGTGAGGGAGGCGGGGCTGAGAGCGCTCTTGACAGAAACTGCTCTTTTTTCAAGAACGGTTGTGCCAGAACTATGGTTTGTAGGGTTGCCAAGTCCTAAAAACTCACCAGCGGGGGAGGCTCCTGAGGCTCTGGGAGCTATCTCCTGATGTTTGTGTGTGTGCGCAAAGCACGCGCGCTGCGCCAGCACGTCAACGGACGTGACGTGCGACGTCGCCCACATTGGAGGTGTGGCCCCGATTGTCGGGGGAAAACCATAGAGTTTTCCCTCTGGCGATCCGGGCCACGCCCCCAATGTGGGCGACCTCCGGTGACGCAGCCACGCTGCTCTTCGGGGGGCGGAGTTCCCCCTGGGGTCCGATTCCGCAGCGGCGGAAATCGGGCCTCCAAAGCGGGGGTTTCCCCGCCCCCACTTGGCAGCCCTAATGGTTTGCCGAAGGCCATCCAGCCAGGTGCAGGTGGAGGAGTGGGGAATCAAACCCGGAAGAGAGCATCAAACCAAACAAAAAAAAAACCCTCTTCAACTTTGGACCAAGGGTACAGTACAGTATAAGGCAGCTTCATGTGTTCATGCCACAAATTTGCATTCATTACAGCTGAATCACTGTTCAGAAGGGATTTTAATTTGGTATACATCATCTGAAGGTACGCCATGAACTGCACTGTAGTTTGAAGCAACGTGCTAGCCCAGTCCTGTTTTTCTTTGATTGTATAGAAATCAAAAGAAACATGCTTCGACTTCAGTTCCTGGATATCAAGGCTGGCAAAACGATGTGTCTGCTTATACCATTCTTCACTGAACACTTCTGATGGATGTCCAAACTGGTCCTCCAGTCAGTTTAGGGGTTCTAAAGTGGAAACTCACTCTGCCCAGCAATGCTCCCTCTATGCTGTGGAGTCTTGTGAGCAAAAATCCGACTTTGTGAGCCGCTGGCACTGAAGTTGTGAGCGAGCGACTTGGCTGCTGCATAAATTAGTTTGCTCTGGAGCCCATCCTTCCTGAGCTGAGACAAAAATGTGTAAGCCGGAGGCTAAAAAATTGTGAGCTAGCTCACACGAACTCAGCTTAGAGGGAACACTGCTGCTCCATAAATACTCTGAGATTCCTTCCCAGAGGTTACGTAATTATTATGGCAGCAGAATGGAGGAAAGAGTTCATCTAGCAAAACAAAGCAGGATTGCAATGTTTATCATTTATTTTGCCAAAATGCTCAGAGGCCAAGCATCTGAAGTTGCTTTAATTAAACCCTTAACAGAGAATGGAATTAAATGGACCCTGACAAGTAGGAAAAAGTGAAACAAATTCTTTCTCCATCTTATACAACTTCGTACTACCCGTGTTTACGGTTGCCTGGCAACCAGCGGGAACATTGGGGGGACATAGGGGGGATGCAATGTTGCCAACATTACTAAATCACTTCCGGATACAACCTGGAAGTGACAATGGGTAGCTCTAGGAATCACTGGAAGCTCTGTGGTAAAACCATAGAGGTGTGTAATTTTTTTTTTTGAACAATTCTCCCACTGACACTCAACAGAGATAATCAGTGGGAGGCCTACCTGGGTTCTTCAACCTTAATCAAGTGAATTGCCCTGTGGAGTTTTCCTCCCCCTGACATATTTGAGAAAAATGTAGTATATACTCTGATAGTGTTGAGATTATTTTTACTCCTAACAGCACGGAATGGAGAACTGAAATTGGACTACAGGGTGAAACTGGCAAGTATATACCAGAGTCTTTGAATCACAGCCTGTTTCATATTTTATAGCTACAATATTTATTAATTGAAATATTTATAAACCACCTTTCCTCACGGTGGCTTACAAATCACACATTAAAACATACAATTGAAGACATACAAAATAAACCCCGCCCCTAAAAGATGCCTACAGTCTATATCCCATTAAAAGCCCTATAAAATATAATGGACTTACAGTGCCTCCTGGAAATTCAAATTTTGTTAGGGACCCCGTTCTACAATGGAAAAGGCATGTCTGATGGTTGATGACAGGTGACCTACTTGAAGTGGTATCTTAAGAATAGCAGCTCGTGGAGATTCAAATACTCAACATAACTAACGTGCACCTGTGCACATAATTTTAATTGACACTACCACAACAGTTACAAAAAAGCATCTTCCTTTCCACTTTTCCCTACGCCCCCCACGCCCAAAGTAGGTGACCCCAGAAGAGAAGGCCTTTGTCCTACGCATGGAAACAAACACAAAGCTTTGGGTAGAACAGACGTTTTTGTTGAAACTTTCGTCCATGATCTTACTAGCACAACAGAGTCTTATACATCTCCTCTGAGGTACCCATGCAATTTAAACTGACAAACTGATTTTTATCAGAGCATTTTATTCAGCAACAATGAAAATCTCGAATTTCAAAGCCAGAGCTGCCGAATCCTTTGCTTTTGTTGGCAAGTATCTGGTTTCATTCGCTTTTGATTTTTGTTCAGCATTGTCATAAACACAAAAACAAAAACCCTTTATAATTTAATGTATAACAACCGCTTGCAACTTTGTGGTCATGTTTCTCTATCTGGAACCAGTGTATCTCTGTGCTGGGTCAGCCAGTCACCACAGATACCATGCACTGGAAACTGGATACACAGTCCAAAATCAAGCCAAGCAAAAGAGCCAAAGGTCAGAAAGCCAGGAAGTCAGTCAAAGGTTGCAGGAGCTAGGAGTAAGGTGAGGAGACTAACAGCCAGGATCAGGTCCAAGCACTCACGGTCGCTTTCGTGCTCAGGCAGGTGCGTGGGGGTGTTTATGACCAGGTTAGGGTTGCCAAGTCCATCTTCCACCCCCAGCGGGGGACTTTGGGGGCGTTCCTGGAAGGGGTGGGGCATCCCCAACGTGATGACATCACGTTGGGGACGTCTGCCGCCCCCCCGCCGTGCGCCGGATCTCCAGAAACAGCAGTTCCCTGCACTTAAAGTAGCCAGCAGCCGGCGTTTCCCCTTTAAGAGAAGCTGCGTTTCCCTTTTAAGAACGAAGCTGGCTTTTCCCTGCAAGCTTGTGGAGTTCGCGCTTGGGATGAAACAAGGGTTGCACACCCTTAAAGGGAGATAGAGGGGTGGCTGTGGGTGTTGGGGGTGGGGCTTCCCCCGCCGTCCCTGTGGCCAGCGGCGGGTAGAACCCCCCAAAAAACGGGGGACCCCTGGCAAACCGGAGGGGGGGGTTGGCAACCCTAGACCAGGTCCTCCCTACCCTGGGAGTCAATCTGCCAAGATTCACAGCCCCTCATGTTGCCTTTGCAACAGCTGCAGTCTGGCACTCTTGCACATTCAGCCGCTGGCGTGCCCTGCGTCTGGGGACACTCAGGAGAACGAGGTGGGGATTCTGGCCTTGGGGTGTCTCCACCTGGGTGTGCTGGGCCAGGCTCTGGATCAGTCTCTCCCTCCGGCTGCACCTCAGTCTCTCCGCCTTGTCGCTCCTCCTGTGCAGCTGCTGGGGCCTCTTCTCCTTCAGGTGCTGTTAAGGGTTCCTCTTCTGGGCTGACTCCAGAGGAGGCTGGGTTGCTCCTCATCGGAGGAGGAGTCAGCCTCAGCAGAGCCAGTACCCATGACAATCTCCAGGATCGTCTCCTCTGGTATGTCCCCGGGAGAGCATTACTCTCTGCCAAGAGCGATCTGCTGAGAGCAACCTGCTGGTGATCCCTGGCCCCAAAGATATCTGGTTGTCCTTAACCAGAGCCAGGGCTTCCATCAGGGCCCTGCGGGACTTAATGCAATTCCGCAGGGCCTGTAAGGCAGAGAGCTTCTGCCAGGCCTTCGGTTGAGGACAGCAACCATTTCCATCACAGCTGGCACCTTCCTCCTTACTCCTCCTTGAGAGTCAGTTTCGTGCAGTAGTTAAGTGTGCGGACTCTAATCTGGGAGAACCGGGTTTGATTCCCCACTCCTCCACATGCACCTGCTGGATGGCCTTGGGCAAGCCATAGTTCTGGCACAGCTGTTCTTGAAAAAAGAGCAGTTTCTGTCAGAGCTCTCTCAGCCCCGCCTACCTCACAGGGTGTCTGTTGTGGGGAGGGGAAGGGAAAGGAGTTTGTAAGCTCTGAGACACCTTTGGGTAGTGAAGGGCGGGGTATAAATTCAATCTCTTCTTCTTCTTCTTCTTCCTCCTACCCTGCCCGCTTCGGCCTCCTCCATAACCTGCCCATGAGGTGAAAGATCAGTTCAGGGGAGGTTTTTAAGTGAAATGATAGACGCCATCTGGAGATTGTGTAATTAAGATAAACGGACTGTTGATTTTAATCTGTATTTTGGTATGTTTTAACCTGGTGTAAATCGCTCGGAGCCCTGTGTACTCAGGGATGGGGCGATTCAGAAATCCAATAATATCTCTCGCTCACACATTCACACACACAACGCAATCCTATTTTCTCCCCTCTTCCCAAAACGGGCAGACCTCATTTGAAGGACTCCACACAAAAGGAAGCCGCTGCTCAACAAGAAATGTGTATTTAATTAAATGCTTTTGCAAAGATACATGAATAAAGCTATGCGTATGGCTTTTCTTTCTTTTTTTGTGTTTATTTTTAAAAGAAATTAAAAAAAACAGGAGAGCACAGTTCTTTGACAAAGAAACAGACCCTAGAATTAGGTTTGTATCCACATGCTCTATGGGGGGAGGGGGGAAGATACGCTGATGTACAGAGCATTCTGTATATGGCATAATCTTAATAAGAAAAAAATGCAGTGTATAACATTTTTTCCAAACACCAGTAATCTAATATCTAAACTCTATCACAAAGTTGATGGCAACCGTCTTCATTTCCTCAGGATTTTACAGAAACCACTATAGCACCATTGCTTTTATTTATTTTTTTACATTTCATTTTATATATTTTAATATTATATTGCCCTGCCTATCTCCATTCTTGGAATTATAACAGAAGCATAGCACCTTTTTCTTTATTTGTATCTAGAACAAACACTAGATTCTTAAATGCATCCCAGCTTCTAGAGATGAGGTAGCTCATGCCGAAGGAATGATGAACCCTTTGTTCGCCCTGACATATTCAAAGCCAGTTAGTTAGAATTACTGGTGATGCATGACCGGTTCGTGAGTGAAAGTTGATCTCGGCAATAGGGAGTCTCTAATCTTTGTACTAAGACTTGGTCGGGAATAGCATGTGGGAATAAATGACAAAACAAAACTGGGACCATACCCTTGAGGCGGTAGGGAAAACCTGATGTTGCTGAAGTCTGTCAGGAGTTTTGAATTGGATTCCAATCCAGGAAAATCTTTTCAACTTCTGTCGCATTTAAGAGGAATTGTTCAGGAAGAGGAAGATAAGTCAATTAGAAGGGCCGCTCCCAACCAGCAATACCATGAATGGGACTTACATTAGGGTAACTCATGATCAAATCCATGACCATTGATGGTAGTTGGAGTTAAGAACATAAGAGAAGCCATGTTGGAGTCACACAGTGGCCAAAACCCAGGTGCTATCAGGAGATCCATCAGCGGGGCCAGAACTCCAGAAGCCCTCCCACTATTGCCCCCAAACACCAAGAATACACAGCGTCACTGCCCCAGACAGAGTGCTCCATCTAGACCTTGTGACTAATAGCCACTGATGGACCTCTGCTCCCTATGTTTATCCAATCCCCTCTTGAATCTGTCTATGCTTTTAGCTGACACCACGTCCTGTGGCAGTGAATTCCACGTGTTAATTACTCTTTGGATGAAGAAGTACTTCCTTTTATCTGTTCTAAGCCTAGTGCTCATTCATTTCTGCAGGGAACTAACAAAGCACCCATTGAGGTATGGTAAGTATTTAAATTAAAACCATAGCATTATGGCCAGAAAGCACTTGAATGCCATTCGCTTCAACCTTCTGCACCACAACTGGGCTTTCCACAGGTAAACACTTTTGGGGGATTGGACACATGAAGAAGACGACAGTCTGCCGTAAACCAAGTGCATGACGGGTGTACATGAGGCTTACATGAAGCTTCAGGATGGATGAAGAACAGGAGTCTGTAACAGACTCACAGTGAAATCCTAAGACGAGTTACACCCTTTGAAGCCTCCTGACTTTGATTTGTTTAGAAGGGTCTAACTCTGTTTAGAATTCCCTTGTAAATGCTAGTCTGCCGTTCCTCCAAATCCCGGTTACTGGCGATGTGCTCTTGAGGGCACAAGAAGAAATGGTCCCGCCCCAAGGGCTTACAACCTAATACCGGAGGAGAAAGAACAGGTCCATGGTGAGGGGGGGGGACGCTCACACAAGGCTTGAGGGGGTGGCAAATAAGGTAAGTAGGGTCACCCCTCGGGAGGGCTGGAGGTCAGAGGACAAAGATCTGTTCCCTTGGAGAGACTGGCAGCTTCGGGGAGTGGACTCTGGGGCATGACACCGTTGACCTTCAGGGGCAGGTGACCTAAACGCAGTGAAGGATGTCAAATAGTTTACAAAGGCTGAAAAGAAGACCCATGAAGAAATACAGGTCAATTTAAAATGTTATTCCAAGAAAACAGGGCATGGGGGAAATGTGAGACAGGAAGCTATATTCTATGAGCAAGAAGGAAAAAGTCAAGGGCACTGGAGAAACTGGTAATGCAACTTTAAGCAGAGTTATACCCTTCAAAGCCCATTGGAGTCAACGGGCTTAGAAGGGTGTAAACTCTGCTTAGGATGGCACTGTCGGGGCTGAGGGCCAAGGTATCGTAAAGTTCCCAAGACTAGACCCTGAGAGGACTCCTGTAGCTTTAAGAGAGTACATTTTAGTGAAATGCTGGGCTACTCCCTTCAACACAGAAGAGTGACTTGGCAAACATAAAGGTCAGCGAGGGCTAAATTTGAATTACCCAACCAGTCCCTCATCTACTGGCTTCTCGTACCAATGGATGCCGTCTTCAAGGACGCTTCCCTGATGCAGCGGTGAGCTGGACTTTGTAGCAAGTTTTAGGACCGGACAATTAAAACTCTTACATATATCCGTCTGTGTACAATGCTTGATGTGAATTACACTCACGTAAGCTGAGAAGAATAAAAACCCCAGAATAAGAAAAACCAATCATCATTATTATCTCTAAGCACGAACAATGTGTTAGTGGGTTTTGCATCAAAGGGTGGTCATTTGTCCTCATAAAATTAGACTATCTTGTTAAAATGTTGACTTGGGTCATAGACTGAAGGCTTGCAAAAAAAAAAAAGTAAAATAAATATTCTAAAGAAGGCCGGGGGTTGAGAAAGAACGGTTATGTACAATGCTGATCCGTCGTCAGCCATTACTTCAAGAGTCTCAGGATTAACTTCACTCCGTCTAAGTTCTTGCGTTTTGCTGCTGTTGCCGCTGATTCCCGAAGCTTTTGAATTGGTATGACGTTTCCCTTTTTATTTCTCTTTTCTTTTTTTCCCCGTCTTACACAAAACAAACTGGCCCAATCTCTATTCCAAACTCTTGGTCGGCATTTCCAATGTCCACTGGGGCAATATCGACGATTGGTAAGCGTGCCACGTTCTGCGTTTTGTACTCAAAAACTGTTTGGCCCAAGTTCCCGTTGCGTTTCTGGGTGAGGGGGAGAGAAACAGGAGACAGACAAGAATTCAGGGTTACTCGTCAGTTTTTCTGTGCACCAATAAAGATAGCTGGGCTAGCTAGTAACTGTTGGAAGTTCCAGATGTGATGACCTCCAGACTGAGTGGCAAGAGAGACAAGATAGCTAGAGAGACACACTGACCTTTCTTCCTGTATCTACTCTTCTGCTACTGTCCTCTTTGACATGCAGATTGTGTTCTCAGGAACTATTCCCCTTCCTTCCATTCTCTCTCAGTTGTGATGAAGACAATTTCTGTCCCTACACACACATGCAGTCCTCTCTTGGCACCATGAGGCAGATGGGCCTATTGCCATCTGTTCCATCCTTTAGCGAGTAAGTTAGTACTCTATCCGGTATCTACTCTTTCCTATCCAAAGTATACTTCTCAAATAAAGAGAGAAGTATTTAACTTCTACATTTGCAATGTGACTCTGGCCCCGGTCACACGGGTCGGAGGCTTTTAGCTGCGGAGAAAAAAGAAGCGCTATAGTGTGATCTCACGTTTCCCCGCGGCTCCTCCGTCCTCCGTCCGTCAGCAGCCAATCAGACCGGTGAGGCAACACAGCAGAAACACAGCAGGACCACGTTCGTTCGCATGCGCCTGACGCGGGTGGCTGCTGGATGCGACGGGCTACCAGCGCGTCTCCAATCAGACGCCCACCCGCGCCACACATTAACTGGAAGATACTGCATCGAAGCAGGTAGTTTTTAACTCCAGGTTTTCTGCGGGAAGCCATGGGTTGGCTGCGGGTGCGCTCCACTTGCCAGATGTGGCGGTGTGATCGCACCTGAATAATCCGCCCACCACCCGTGGCTCTCCCGCAGCTACTTCCGTGTGTGAACAGGGCCTCTGTGTAGCTTTGTAAGCTGAATAACCTGGTAAAGTGATGCACCTGTGTTTGTAGCTTTCTTTAAGCACTCTGCTAACTAGTGATAACTGGACTAACCACACTAGTTAACCCTAATAGGTTATGGGCCCAGCATGCTTCCATTGCATTTGTAGCTTTATTTAAGCACTCTGCTAACTAGTGGTAACTGGACTAACCACACCAGTTAACCCCAATAGTAATAACCATGAGATATTATTCCTCATGCCCCTGGTACAAACCATTTGCATGTTGCAATTGGGAATGTACCTGCATAACTTTGGTTAGACACTCTCATCAGATGTTTGGTGTGGAAGAGAGCAAAGAGAACTGAAGGTCAGCCCCTTCCTCTCCTTTCAGAGAAGACTTCTGATTGGCCATTGGAGATTTGATTGGCTTTTAGAAGCATTGCTTTGGTAGCAGCTGTCACCACAGCAGAAGGAACTTCACTATGTGACTGAAGGTAAACCGCTGTGGCAGCCATTTTGTTACTGGCTGTACCTCTTCTAGATGCCATTTTGTGGCTGTGCCCACCATACTGTATCAGAATTCCAAAGGTGCCCACAGGTTAAAAAAGGTTGGGGGGGGGGGCTGAGTTGGGGTATCTAACCAGAGCTTTGGATAAGTAGTCTCAGACAAGGAAGGAAATCGTATGAGCAGCAGCAATTAGTTTTCACCAAAGTGTAGGAGGAACGCTTTCCATTCAAAAGGCTGGTCTAGGGGGCTCTGGATTCTTACTCTTTTTTCATACAGGTTCTGAATTGCAACTAGGGAATTATCCCCAAGAATTAGTTTTGTAAGCAGATCCAGACCCATCTGGTTTCAGCCCCTGTCACTGTACATGAGTCACCATCCAAGCTAGGGGTAAAGGGGTGGAAGCTTGCTTTGGCTCATGCCCATGGCCTCTTAACTGGATAAGGGCACATATCTGAAGGACCTTTCTCATTATATTTTAGTGCTGGTGGTGAAAAAGTGTAACCACTACAGTTCATGGAAACCTTTAAGCAGCCTGTTCAGGCTGCTCATATATTAACTAATGCTACAGAAGAAGAAGAAAAAGAAGAAGAGATTGGATTTATACCCCGCCCTTCACTACCCAAAGGTGTCTCAGAGCGGCTTACAAACTCCTTTCCCTTCCCCTCCCCACAACAGACACCCTGTGAGGTAGTTGGGGCTGAGAGAGCTCTGACAGAAACTGCTCTTTTTCAAGAACAGCTCTTATCAGAACTACGGCTTGCCCAAGGCCATCCAGCCAGGTGCAAGTGGAGGAGTGGGGAATCAAACCCGGTTCTCCCAGATTAGAGTCCACGCACTTAACCACGACACCAAACTGGCTCAGAACAGTTATGGGCCTGGGGTACCATGTTACCCACCATGGTGGGAAGCCTCCTGCACCCATCCTCTGGGCTCCCACTGCTGCTTGATGGAGCAGGGGGAGCAAAAACGGGTGGAGGGAACTATTACACAACACTCTAGAAACTTCCCAAATCTCTACAGTTTTCACAGATTCTGTTGCCAACACCAGGACGTCGCCTCTGGGCATGCAAGCAGAAGTAACACTATGGTGTCATGCAACACTGGTTTCTGGAATCTCCGCCCCCATCCAGTGCTTCCTGGGCTTGCTAGCTGAGGCCTGGTAATCTTATATGGCCCTCTGTGTGGGCACAACATCTGCACTGCCACACACTGGGCAGCTGACTTCCAGCTGCAGTGACTCCTCCTCCTTGGGTTTTGCTTGGGAATCATAGGCAGAAACTACAGGCCCGCCTTAACACTAATTACAACAGTGAGGATGTGGTCCCACGCTTCCCCACACTGCTGTCAATCTGGCACATGTAAACCTCAGTGCCATGCATTCTCTTTCTCTTTCTCTGCACTTCATGATAAATTCAGCTCTGCAAAGATAATAACAGCGAAACACTTACACTGCAACTGTCATGAAGGACCGTATATCTAAAGCGGCTGTTTCCTTCTGCTTTGATTTCCAGGTCGTTTGCCCCCTTCAGGACCACGGCCTTCTTCAGATTCTTGGCTTGGTCATCCATGTAGCCAACACTGTTCTTGCAGTGGTAGGTGATATTCTGAGAGGCTTCTTTGGACAACAGACGCAGGAATGTCATCTGCGTGACGGCAGTGTTGGGGGACTCGTTATCACCGTAGACAAACTGCAACGAGTACGAAGAAATATCAATTTACAAGCCCTGATCTCTGTGCCTCTTCCTTCACTGGTGGGGTGGACACAGGCCAGAGACCGGACATTTTCAGTCCTGTGGCCATTCTGGGAGAAGCCTGAGCATGGTGAGGCACTATACCCAAGTTCAAGTCTTTATTATGTTTAGGATTATGTATTAAATCCCCTCAGGGTTCTCTGTAGTGACCTGGAACCTGTTTAAACAGCCCCTCCCTCACACTATCCTCTCTTTATCTTTGGATTGCCAGTTGTCCACATTCTTGAAAACAGGTTTATGACAATCTTGGTAGAGTGCCACTGGTGTTTCCGCCACAGGTCTGTTCCCCAGGCTCCTTTATTATATTAAACCCCCTCAGGGTTCTCTGTAGTTACCTGGAACCTTTTTAAACAGCCTCTCCCTCACACTATCCTCTCTTTATCTTTGAATCACCAGTTGTCCACATTCTTGAGAACAAGGTTTATGACTAAATCTTGGTAGAGTGCCACCGGCGCCTTTATAACAATATTGGATATACTTATGAGGTACATTTTAATCCCCCTTTTGCTGAATATTCAACTGGACGAATAAGAGACTGGTGAAGGCAAAACAGCATGTTTTATTAAACGAAGAAAGATGGGATTCGACAGCATAAGTGTTACGTGTGGAATATTTCAGCTTAAATGAGTAAAATGACTCTCAAACGTGAGCCAGCAGTTACACTTTCCCTGCCCCCCCCAATACTTTGTAACTGGCCAAAAGACAGTAAATAAACACTGAGGTGAGATTCTGGCTTCCTTTTGTCAGAAAGATTACGTCAGGTTAGGGAGGTTTCCTTGACTCAGTTACCAAAAGCAAGTTCCCTCAATGTAACTGACCAAAAGACAGTAAACAGACACTGAGTAGAGATTCTGGCTTCCTTTTTTTTTATAGCTATTTTATGGACTGTTTCTGGTCTGAGGTCCATTTTGTGGGTATTTTAAGGGTTTTTAATGGCTTGAACGCTTGGTTTTACCAGCCTGTTTGTTTTTCTATTGATAAGTTAGGATTTTTTTTAAATATAATTTTATTGTTTTTACTTTTACTCAAGCGGACCTCTAGAGAAGCAGTGAATAAATCCCCTATGTAAATAATAATTTAAAAAACTAAACGAAGCCCAACTGCAGCAAAACAGTGAACATTTACAGTTCCTGTATCAATTAATATCGGGACCATTTCTACTTTAGAAATCAACGATTCCCCATCGTACACTACATTAAAATTGCATACATCAACAACCAAATGCACACTCATATTTGAGCTGACTGTATTTATCACTTTCCTTTCACAAACGGAATTTATTATGAAATGAACAAAATATCTAAGGAAAATCTTGACATGAAATGTTGAAAGCTGTCTTGAGTGTTACGCTCCATGGATCGACATCTCCTGGTGGTCCCTAGCCCCAAAAAGGCTGTCTTGGCTCGACCAGGGCCTTTTCCGCCCTGGCCCCTGCCTGGTGGATAGGCTTGCCAAGTCGTACCTCATCCTGAAGCGGGGGACTCCCAGGTTGATACACGTCTCCAGAAAGTGACGCAACCACGCCGGGCACGCTGGGGGCGGGGCCATGATCATCCAAGGGAAAACCATAGAGTTTTCCCTCGGATGACCGTGGCCCCGCCCCCAGCGTGCCCAGCGTGTTGAGGAACGGTTAAGGCGCTTAGGGCTCTTTAGCTTGGAGAAACGACGACTGAGGGGTGACATGATTGAGGTTTATAAGATTATGCATGGGAAAGAGCAGGTAGAGAAAGAGGTACTTTTCTCCCTTTCTCACAATACAAGAACCCGTGGGCACTCCATGAAATTGCTGAGCGGTCGGGTTAGAACGGATAAAAGGAAGTACTTCTTCACCCAAAGAGTGATTAACACTTGGAATTCACTGCCACAGGAAGTGGTGGCAGCTACAAGCATGGACGGCTTCAAAAGGGAATTAGATAAGCATATGGAGCAGAGGTCCATCAGTGGCTATTAGCCACAAGGTATAGATAGGGACTCTGGGGCAAGTGATGCTCTGTCATCTTGGTGCTTGGGGGGGGGTCAACAGTGGGAGGGCTTCTAATGTCCTGGCCCCACTGGTGGACCTCCTGATGGCACTGGTATTTCTGGCCACTGTGGGATACAGAGTGCTGGACTGGATGGGCCTTTGGCCTGATCCAACATTGGCATCTCTTATGTTCTTATGTTCTTATGTTCTTAAAATAATTTTACTGTTTTTACTTTTACTCAAGCGCACCTCTAGAGAAGCAGTGAATAAATCCCCTATGTAAATAGTAATTAAAAAAATTAAATGAAGCCCAACTGCAGCATAACAGTGAAAATGTACAGTTCATGTATCAATTAATATCGGGACCATTTCTGCTTTAGAAATCAACGATTCCCCATAGTACACTACATTAAAATTGCATACCTCAATAACCAAATGCACACTCATATTTGAGCTGACTGTATTTATCACTTTCCTTTCACAAACTGAATTTATTAGGAAATGAACAAAATATCTAAGGAAAGTCTTAACATGAAATGTTGTAAGCTGTCTTGAGTTTGCCCCGAAGAGCGTTACACTCCATGGATCAACATCTCCTGGTGGTCCCTGGCCCAAAAAAGGCTGTCTTGGCTTGACCAGGGCCTTTTCCGCCCTGGCCCCTGCCTGGTGGAACACGCTCCATATTGAGATCAGGGCCCTGCAGGATCTTCTTCAATTCCGCAGGGCCCGTAAGACGGAGCTGTTCTGCCAAGCCTTTGGCTGAGGTCCAGATATCCTCCTGTTTCAGTGTCTTCCTCAGGGAGTTCAACAGATATTTCCAAGCACAAGGTTGCCAAATACCAAAATATTTATCCAAATTTTTCAATGAACGCTGCGAAAAGTCTCTCTTAGTGAGCTCAAAGCTTCCTCCAAAGTGAAAAGCACGTGCACTGTCCCTCTTAAAACGTTTGTATAATTAAGGAGGACTGATATTAATAAAGGGGTTGTGCAATATCTTTTGAGATATGTTAAGAGACGATGTTTAATGTTTTGATATATGATTCTTTCTATGTATTAAGGCTTATAGGATAAATAATATACGGTGAATAAATTGTAAAAATATAAAACAAAAATATATAAAAAATATTTGAGATATTTTATAATTGTCTGTAGCACGGTACTTGCTGATTTTTGGTATTTCCTACTTACCGTGGGTCCTATTTTGGCTTTGTGAAAGCCTTTGGCTGAGGCAGCGGACGTCCAATGTATGGCCCCCGTGAGGTTCTTGTCACCCACTAACAACTGCTGGCTATTATTTACATCTTACCATGGGCCAGGACCTCTAGCAATCATTAGTTTTTCTACTGTAGGGTTGTGACCACCATTTTAATGTATATGACAGTATCTTAAAATTTTATGTGGATGGTGAGAGCAACATAAGAGTTCCCAGTTCCCCAGGGATGGTGAGGAAGAGGAAGAAGAAGAAGAAGAGACTGGATTAATACCCCATGGCCCTTCACTACCCGAAGGTGTCTCAGAGCGGCTTACAAACTCCTTTCCCTTCCCCTCCCCACCACGGACACCCTGTGAGGTAGGTGGGGCTGAGAGAGCTCTTGACAGAAACTGCTCTTTTTCAAGAACAGCTGTGCCAGAGTTATGGCTTGCCCAAGGTCATCCAGCCAGGTGCAAGTGGAGGAGTGGGGAATCAAACCCGGTTCTCCCAGATTAGAGTCCACGCACTTAACCACTGCACCAAACTGGAGAAGAAGAAGAGGAGGAGGAGATTAGATTTATACCCCGCCCTTCACTACCCAAGGGAGTCTCAGAGTGGTTTACAAACTCCTTTCCCTTCCCCTCCCCACAACAGACACCCTGTGAGGTAGGCGGGGCTGAGAGAGCTCTTGACAGAAACTGCTCTTTTTCAAGAACAGCTCTTATCAGAACTACGGCTTTCCCAAGGCCATCCAGCCAGGTGCAAGTGGAGGAGTGGGGAATCAAACCCGGTTCTCCTAGATTAGAGTCCGCACACTTAACCACTACACCAAACTAAGGGACCCCTGCCCCCGGCTTCCAATTCACACTGCCCCTAATGAAATGTTGTTTTTATTGTACTGATGAAATGCTGCTACCCACCCTGAGCCCACCTGCGGGAAGGGCGGGCTATAAATATAAATACATAAACAAATAAATGTTTTTACCTGTGAACCCCTGTTCATATCCAGTCCATACCATACAGGCTTTAGTTCAGGTGACCTACTTGTCCACCATGTTTTACGTGGGATACTAGCTGGGTTTGCAGGGATGCACGTCTCGCCGCTTTCCATGTTGCAGAATACTTTGATGGCATCTTCCACACAACCTTGGTTAGGGTCAACCCAATATTCTCCTGCAAAGACAAAGCAGGAAAGCTGAGAGAAGAAACACTGGTCTCGATCAAGACCTAGGTTAGATTCAGCAGTGAGGATGTAATTATTAAATAAGCTTGTGCACCGTTCAAGTTAAACTGAGAGCCAAAGAGCACTGCGTGGGGAAGAACTATGGCCAATCTCCTTAAACATTCTTGTCTTACAGACCACACTTCTGGGTTCCTCCTTTTTTGTGGACCGCTGTTACATGCAGGCCGTTCACGTTTATTTATTTAGTAGCCACCTTTCTTCCTTAAGGAACTCAAGATGAGTTACGACATAGATAAAATGCACACACAAAAAATAAAGCCCAGAATTTTAAATCACAATTCAGGATTGCTAGCAAACAACCAAATATGGTCCTAAACAAAACCGTCTTCAGCTGCCTCCTAAAGGTCTGTTAAGTCACTCGCTTAACAAAGCAGTCGGAGAGTGATTCAGCAAGAACACAACTTTATTCTTCAACTCGAACACAACCCCAACACGGTGGAGGAGTGGGGAATCAAACCCGGTTCTCCCAGATTAGAGTCTGCACACTTAACCACTACACCAAACTGACTCTCCATTCTTGTCTTACAGACCACACTTCTGGGTTCCTCCTTTTTTGTGGACCGCTGTTACATGCAGGCCATTCACGTTGTTTATTTATTTAGTAGCCACCCTTTCTTCCTTAAGGAACTCAAGACGGGTTACGACATAGACATAGATAAAATGCACCCAAAAAAATAAAGCCCAAAAAAATTATTTATTTATTTATTTTATTTTTTCGCATTTATATCCCGCCCTTTCCCGGAGGCTCAGGGCGGCTAACAGGGGCACCAAATCACAATTCAGGATTGCTAGCAAACGACCAAATATGGTCCTAATCTTGTGTACCCGTCAAATGGATTTCTTTAATCGGCGGGATAGTCAGGAGGGCCTCTCCCTGTGATCTTAATTCCCAGGCAGAAACAGAAGGATGATCCTGTCCCAAGACATGCAGGGCTTCAAACGACATGACCAGCACCTTGAATCTGACTTGAGAGTCGACTGGTAGCCAGTGTGATTGCTGTAATGTTGGGGCCAGCTCCTGATAGCTGGCCCCAACCAGCAGTCTAAGTGACAGTGCTTTGCACTCGTTGCCGCCTCCGAACACTCTTCAAGGGTAGCCCCAAGCAGGGGTCGTTTCGTAGAAAAAGAGCTAAGGGAACTCATTAGCATAACTCATTAGCATATGCCACACCCCCTGACATCATAAGGCCCAGCGGTGGACCTGCAAGGCCGGTGGGAGTGCGAGGAAGCCCCGCCAAGGCCCTCCTCAATCCCCCCCGAAATGACCTCTGGCCACAAGCATTGCAACAGTCCAGCCTAGATGTAACTAACGCACAGATCACTGTGTGTACATCTGACTGAACCAGGAAGGGATGCAGCTGATGTACCAGCTGAAGCCGGGCAAAGCACTTCAGACCATCACAGCCGCCCAGTTTCCTATGGCGACTGCTGTTTTGAGTCACACGCCTAAGGTGCCACTGTATGGGTGGCTCCATAAAAGCTCCTTCTGTACTCAGAAACATCCACATTGAATCTCTGAGGGGAAAGGAAAGAGGAAGTCATACTAAGAAAGAGGCAGCCGTCGCTCGTCTATCACGGCTCACTCACTTGCTCCGGAGTGCCAAAAAGTTGCATAATCCTTCGGCCACTGTTGACCTTGCGTTTTTGCAAATCGTGCAGGGGAGGTGGGGGAGCTAAGTTGTTCGTGAGCTTTGAAGCATCACACGTGCTCCATATAATGCCATCGTAGGCAATGTCTGTGTATTAAAAAGGTAAAGTGCAGGGGGGTTGTAGAAAAAGCCCAGCAGGAACTCATTAGCATAATAGGCCACACCCAACAGCAGAAACTCATTAGCATATTAGGCCACACCACTGACAGTGCAGCTCATTGGCATATTACGCCACACCCCCATGTTACCAGAAGTGTGCTCATCCAGCCACACCCACCTTTTGCTTCTTATTCCGTTTACCTTGTTTGTTATCAAAACCCAGGGCTTTTTTTGTAGCAGGAACTCCTTTGCATGTTAGGCCACACACCCCTAATGTAGCCAATCCTAATGAGTTTCTGCTGTTGGGTGTGGCCTATTATGCTAATGACTTCCTGCTGGGCGTGGCCAACTTGGAAGCCAGCCGGAACGCCGTTCCTGTGCGTTCCTGCCCAAAAGTAGCCCTGGTAAAGTGTACCATCCAGTCACTGCCAGCTCACGGCAACCCCTCATGGGGCTTTCAAGGCGAGAGATGAACAGAGGTGGTTTGCCATTGCCTGCATCTCCGTAGCGGCCCCAGATTCCCTTGGTGGGGTCTCCCATCAGAGTACTAACCAGGGCCAACCCTGCTGAGCTTCCAAGATCTGACGGCATTGAGCTAGTTTGGACTATTAGAGATCCAGTGTGCTGTAGGGGCAAGAGTGTCGGACTAGGATCTGGGAGACCCAGGTTCGAGTCCAGCCGAGGAAGCTTGCGGAGTGACCCTGGGTCAGTCACACACTCTCAGCCTCATCTATCTCACACGGTCATTGTGAGGATAGAATGGAGGACAGAATGATGTCAGCCACCTTGACTTTCCACTGGGGAGAAAGGTGGGGTTATAAATGAATAAATTACGGCTGCTATGTCTATGCATAAGCTTTTGTGTTTATTTATATTCCCCTTCTCTCCCATGAGGGGACACCAAGTGGTTTGTCCTATCATTCTCCCCTCCTCCACAACAAACCCCCACTCTGTGAGGTAGGTCAGGCTGAGAGACTGTCAACATAAGAACACAAGAGAAGCCATGTTGGATCAGGCCAATGGCCCATCCAGTACGACACTCTGTGGCACACAGTGGCCAAAACCCAGGGGACATCAGGAGATCCACCAGCAGGGCTAGAACTCCAGAAGACCTTCCACTGTGCCCCCCCCCCCAAGCACCAAGAATACAGAGCCCCAGACTACACTGCCCCAGACATAGGAACATAAGAGAAGCTATATTGGGTCAGGCCAATGGCCTTCCCAGTCCAACATTGTGTGGCACACAGTGGCCAAAACCCAGGTGACATCAGGAGGTCCACCAGCCGGGCCAGCAGGGGCAAACTTCCATGGGAGAACATGGATCCAAACTCTGCTGTCCCAGGCCCCAGTCTTCCACCCCAACCACTTGTCTATGCCTGCTAATGGAAGTCTACTTTGATTAAGCAATGACTTATCTTTTAAAAAAACAAAAAACCTACCACTCTTTTTGGATGGATGGCACAGCCTCAAGTCATCACAAGTCCGTGCTGGGTGTTTCTTGCTCCCGTCTGGACTACGCATGGTTTCAATCTGGCTACTAAGTGACTTCAGTGTAGCATGGACTCCTGGATCTGTTTTATTGTTATCGTCTAGGGCAGCTTCGTCTTCAGAGAATTCTGGGAGAGGGTCGGCAAGACCGTCATCGTAATGTCCCATAATGTCACCAATGGCGGCTGTGAGGTGGCCTGGCGGGCCCGGGGGGCCTGGGGGACCGGTTTCTCCTGGGGGACCCTAAGAGACAAATCAGCAAGACAATGACCATGCACATGGTTGCACAATTACACATCTGTAATAAACAGTGTAATAATAGGAGATGCGGTGGCACAAGTGGTTAAGACGCTGAACTGCAGGCTGTGGAAGGTCGGTAGTTCAGCCGTTCGAGACCCGAGTGTGCCGCATGACGGAGTGAGCTCCCGTCTCTAGTTCCAGCTCCTGCCAACCTAGCAGTTTGAAAGCAAGAAATTGCAAGTAGATAAATAAGTACCACTTCAGTCCTCCTCTCTCTCACCTTCTCCCTGCGTAGAGGAAAGTTTCAAGCATTCTAGCATCCTTTTGGAATGTGTGTGTGTGTACATGTGTGTGTAAGCTCTCTGTTATCTCTGCCAAGGTCACACTGACTGCGTAGGCAATCACCAGACTTCTCATGCTGTTAGCACACAAATACCTTTGGGTTCCCTATATCCAGGCAGGAGAATAGTGAATTCTTCTGCACTGCTGTCCTACATCATTACTATCCTATTATTACATCACTGTGTTACTACGACTGGAAGGGGACAGAGGAGATTGCATGTTTGGCACTCCATACTACAATAAATGTGTTTGTTGGATGGAGGAAAACTGTATTTCCAGTTTGAGTGGAGTGCACGTTGCTCGTACATTCCATCCGCCTTGTGCAATTAGCTAGGTTCCCAATTTCCAGGTGAACAGCCAGGAGAACAGTGAATTCATGCGGGTTTGCCACGCAGTCTGCACTGCCCTCCTACACTATCCTATTATTACATCACTGTGTTACTACGACTGGAAGGGGACAGAGGAGAATTGCATGTTTGGCACTCCACGCTACAATAAATGTGTTTGCTGGATGGAGGAAAACTGTATTTTCAGTTTGAGTTCTGGGAAGATAGTTGCTGAGTAACAACGGTACAAATATTATTGAACAGAACAATTTTCCAGTGATACTTTTTGGCCATAATCTTATGCACACTTAAGCCTCAGAGAAGTCAGTAAGACCTACTTCTGAGCGAACATACACAGGGACGAGCTATTAGTCTTCTTAAACTAAGGATCTTTTATTAAAAAAACAACAAAGGAAGTGCACACCAGAAGGCACACAAGTGGGAAAGAAAGAAAAAGCGCAACTGAAGAGCACCGAGAAGAAAAATCTCAAGAGCTCTCTAAATCTACAGCTCTCACAAATGGAGGCAGAAAAATGACAGACAGGAGGAATCCTCCCCCCTATGAAGTGCTATCAACTTCCTGCCTCCAGGGATTGTGGGAAAAGGAACCCGAGAGTATATGTCCCCCCCCTCTTGAGAAAGAACAGGGCAACAGGTATACTTCTTTATATTAAATGTATAAACATATAACTCACTTTTCTGCCGCAGGCACTCAAAGTGGTTTGTAACAAATTAATCCAACTGGAGACTACGGTTGAAATGTTTTAAAGCCATATCGATAAAAGACTTTCATTACTACCTCTTACTGCTTTCAGAATAAAGCAGAGAGACTTTTTTTATCCTCCGACAGTCTTGTAAAGGAAGTGTCTAGTTCCTTATCATTTCAGTGCAGAAGAACATGCATAGTGATGGCCAACATCTAACTTTCCTGTAGCACCACTTTGGTGCTATATAGAACACTGAGATCCCTCCAGCCCTACAGAAAATCCCCGTTGTTTACCTCAGGTCCTGCTTCTCCTAAGGTTCCTCTTACACCAGGAGGTCCAACTGGCCCGAGGGGTCCAAAATTTCCTTCTTTCCCTGAAGGTCCAACTGGACCAGGGGGGCCCTGTATCGTGAGAGAATGTCCACATCGATAATGTAAACAGTACCTATTCAATTTAACAACAACAACGACAAAACTATCCGCAACGTTCCGCATAGTGACACCTGATCAAGCTCTAGACCAGTTGTGCATAATAGCTATCAGCTCCAGCTATGGTTGCCAAGTCAGGGTTCCAAAATCCCTGGAGATTTAAAGGTGGACCCTAGGGAGGGGCGGGACCTCAGCAGGGTATAACACCATAGAGTCCACCCTCCAGAACAGCCATTTTCTTCAGGGGAACTGATCTCTGTAGTATGGAGATCAGTTGTAATCCCAGGAGACTGCCAAACCCAACCTGGAGGATGGCCACCCTCCAACTCAGGATGGACATCCATATCTGCATTAAAAGATGAATCCAATTAACTCAAAGATGGGTGGATAAGCATTTCTACGTCGCTATCGAGCACGTATACAAAAGTACATTGGCTAAGCAGCATACACCTCCATTCACTTGTAGGTCCCCCATGCTGGTGTGGGGCAGGGTTGCCATTCCTCTGGTGGGGCATGGGAACCCCTCAATTTTGGGGGGCCCCATCTGCTGCGACGCAGCTGGCCGGCTGGGGAAGTCCCACCCCTGAGAAAACCCCTTCAGGTGCTGCTGGAATGATGATGTCACCCAGGAGTGATGTCATCACGTTTCCATCGTCAGGGGTGATGCTCTAGGTTTTGGGGGAAAACTCTATGGTTTTGAGGCCCAAAAAGCCACAGAGTTTTGCCCAAAACCTAGAGCATTGCCCCCCAGTGGCAGAAATGCAATGACATCACTTCTGGGTGATGTCATCAAGGTGAGCGCATTTTGAACACGTGCCAGAAGAGCTCCAGAGAGGATCAGGAGACCCTCCACCATCAGCCATCAGCCAGGTAGGACATGGCAACCCTAGTGTGGGGTGACCGTTCTTTACAAAGCATTGTAGCGATAGAATGTGTAGTTTAGAGACATTCCTTTATACACAAGGAATTGGTAATTTGTGGGCCGGCCCTAAGATCACATGACCTTAGACTATTCTAGAATAAGGTTGGGAGATTCCTGTACAGGATGTTCTCGTTGATCTCTATGCTAAACTTGTGTTAAGCCATTCCTCATTCCGTTAGTCTCTCTGCGGACCTAGATATATTACAAAGTAATGGGACAAAGTAACGGGACAAAGTAACATGATTGATTGTGAGCTAAGAATATTGAATACTGTCATCTCCAAACTGATGACGACAACTAGCACTTTATTGTGGTTGAACTGTTTTAATTGCAATCCATGTTTTAATGTAACTTATTTGTTTTATGTAATTTATCTGTTTTTGTAAGCCACCTGAGCCAACTTTGGCTGGGAGGGCGGGGTAGAAATTTGAGAAATGAATAAAAATTCTAAATGCATTTACTTTGGTTCAAGTTCTAATGAACATAAGAACATAAGAGATGCCAATGTTGGATCAGGCCAAAGGCCCATCCAGTCCAACACTCTATGTCACACAGTGGCCAGAAATACCAGGTGCCATCAGGAGGTCCACCAGTGGGGCCAGGACATTAGAAAGCCCTCCCACATGCAGCAGATAGGATTGGACACTCAGCAAGACTACACTGAATCAAAACCATCAGACCAAAGGAATGCACTGCAAGGACGACACCATTTTTAAAATCTGCCCTTTTGAAACAGACCACATTCTTCATATTAGTGATCAACAGACATCGAAGCCAAAATAGGCTCCTTGAATCTCTATCCTTGCTTTCTGAGCCTGAGGATTTTTTAAAAAATAAAAGCTAGTTTATTGGGCTCAGAGTTGCAAACTCACTATAGCTTGGCCAACAGAACCTGTTCTCCCCTAAATTTAGGGATTGTTCCAAATGCAAATCTTCCAGCTGTATATCTTTATCAACTTATCGCTCCAAATTGGCACAGAGCCATCTCCTTGGCCAGATTTAATGTTCTTCCTTCTGCTCTTATCTCTGGCAGATTCCAGGGGATCCCCTACTCCAGTAGGTGTTCTCTTTGTAAGAAGGACTGTGTTGAAACTGTCCCCCGTGTTCTCCTTCAAAGTCCCTTATATCTGGTGCCCCGCCAGGATCTTCTGTATCCTATATTAGCTCAATTCTCAGAGATTCCTGACGATGTTAAGGTTCTGTTTTTGCTTGATAATCAAGATGCCGAAATAACTGAAAAAGTAGCAAGGTCTTAATGCTATGGCTATACGTTCTGATAAGTAACCATTAGGTTTTTCTGCTTTCATGCTGTTTTTCTGTGCCGTTGCCCCAATTTTACCCTATATGGATTTGTATTTTCCGATCTATATTTAATCTGATCTCCTATTGTATGTGTATACCTATGCCAATAAAGGCTTGTCAAAGTAAGTGATCAACAGTGCAATCCTAAGAACCGTTTCCTAGGAGTAAGGCCCATTGAACATACCACACTAGGATTCAGAATACATCTGTTTAGGATTGCTCTCTGCAATCCTAAAGGCAGTTTCAGGGGGTTGCAGAGCAACAGCCAGATTCAAGTCCAGTAGCACCTTGGGGGGCAAAGGTTTTAAGAGCCAAAGGTCCCTTCATCAGATACGTTTTGAGCTTTGACTCTCGAAAGCTTATACCCTGGAAACCTTGTTGAAGGTGCTGAGGCACTCAAAGCTAGCAACCCTAGGGGCAGTTTCCTAGGAGAAAGTCTCACTAAATAACATGGGAATCACTTCCAGAGATCATTTGGATAGCTCAGATTAGCCTGAGCTTGTCAGAACTCGGGAGCTAACTAGGGTCAGCCATGGTCAATACTTGGACAGGGGACCACCAAGGCAGACTGGAGTTGGAACACAGAAGAAGGCAATGGCAAGCCACCTCTGCTCCTCTCTTTCCATGAGCCCTTCATGGCTGGAGTCGCTATTTGTTAGCTGTGACTCGACAGTATCTTCTTCTGCTTCCAAAGAGAACTGCTTAGGACAGCTCCCAATGTACACGATAGAGTGCAGGGTCACTCCACTCGGGGCTCTTCCACATTCTCCTTTTCCTTGTTTGTACCTGGGTATTTCTTTTCTTTTCTGCACACATTTTGCTCCCTCTAGTGGTCAGTTCAATATTACATCGCTTTATGTCTGGCATAAAATAAGCTACGCACAAGTGATGTAATACCAAATTGACCACTAGGGAGAATGAAACGCATGAGGAAAAGGGGGGGACCTTATTTATTTATTTATTTATTTATTGAGATTTATACCCCACCCTCCCCACAGAGCGGGCTCAGGGCGGCTTACAAGGGGCAAAGCCCATATAAAACAGATAAAAGCAATAAAAACATTAATAACAATTGTACTCAATTAGACAAGATGGTCTCCAGATACATGCCAGATACATGCCAGTTCTCCAGGGATGATGTTATCCTATTGCCTATCCCAACCAGGTAAATCCAGTGGTATCAGTCACACAGAAATAGTGGCAGATCTTCCCGGGCCATCCTTAACCCCAATGTTATCCACTGCATTGGTGGCGGTGGTAGTGGCGGCCCCTATGTGAAAGCCTGGCGGAAGAGCTCCGTCTTACAGGACCTGCGGAACTGCATAAGGTCTCGCAGGGCCCTGATCTCCTCCAGGAGCTCGTTCCACCAGGTAGGGGCCGCCACTGAAAAGGATCTGGTCCTAGTCGTGGTGAGCCTTGCCTCCCGGGGGCCTGGAACCACCAGGCGATGTTGTGCCCCGGACCGAAGTGCTCTTGGGGGTATATACGGGGAAAGGCGGTCTCTCAGGTAGGTCGGACCCTGGCCATGTAGGGCTTTAAAGCACTTTGAAGCGAATTCAGTATGCTATTGGCAGCCAGTGCAGCATTTTCAGTCCAGGCTGGATGTGCTTCCACTTGGGGAGACCCATCATCAGCCTGGCTGCCGCACTGTAAGTGGTACAAGCCTGGCATTTTAAAAAATCTTGGGGGGGGGGAGTCACCAAATTATTTCTGCAAGTCCGAATGACATGGACAAGTTTCTTTAATTTGTCAACCAGCCACTTGAGCTTTCTGTGCAGAAGGCGGAATAGTATTTGCAAGGTCCACTGAGGCAGAAGACGGTATCTGAATATGTGGTGGAGAACATTTGTCGTTTGAGAACAGGAAAACATAACAAAAGAAGTACTCATTCAAGGCAGTTGCCTCCCTCCCCATTCAAGGCTGGGCTTGAATATTTTCAAAGGCAATCTTAATGGGTATTTGAGCATGAACTGAGATCTTCTGCAAGCCAACACCTAAGCCAAATCCCAGACTTTGTTGACAATTCCTATGCAAAGGAACTGGAGAAGATGAACAGCCCAGAGCGTAACCTTGCTTAATGACATTGCATAGAAATCCCATGCAATGTTACTCTGAAATCAACAAACACCATCTGCACAACAGCAAAGTTCAGCAGAGAAATGTAATTGTTTCCATATTTGTTTCCCGTATCTGGGATACTCACTCTAGGGCCAAATGGACCTGGAATCCCAGAACTGCCTTGTTCACCAATAGGACCCTACAAAGAAAACAACACAGGTTTATCTTTCTGTGCCATTTCATATTAGTATTCTCTTCATACCACAAAAGAAAATACATTCATTTTATAGCATCATGTGTGTGGAAGTATATAGGCCGAGTTCAGACTGGCAGGTTGAAGTGGGAGGGAGTCGTGGCAAAAAAAAGAGCCGGAACAAACTGTTCCGGGTTTTCCCGTTCACACTGCAGCGACCGATGTGGGAGCATACCGGGAGGAGGTGCAAGGGAGCGTTCACACTGTTGGCCCAGAGGTGCGGCTGTAAGGCGCGGCTTTCTTTTTTTGTAATCTGGAGATATGAGCGTATAGACACATAAGAAAACATGGCTTTTGGCGTTCACACTTTGTTGGTGCAGAATCGATGTGGGATAATTGTGCTTTCCGGGGTTTCCTTTCACCAGGTGTCCTTTAAACTTGGGAGCGAAGCGTTACAAGACGGGTTGAGTACGGGTGGGGAACGCCTGAAAGATGTGCCTGTGTGAACAGCCCCTTTAATCTGGTTGTGGATTGTTTCTGAAACATGCCTATATTGGGGCAAACTGCCAGTCTGAACTCGGCCAAAAAATGTTCCAACAGTCGCCTCAAGTATACATTAGTTTTTAAGTCTCAGAATAAAGTCCACTTATTTCATATAATGCAGTAGCGGTATCCATCATCATAACAGATAATTAACATGCACTTTTAAAAAGATGATATACAGTCTTATGACTGAGATCACAGGAATGGAACATCACTACCCTATACAAAGGAATCAGTTTCAATTAGAATTAAACCAAAAAGGACAATATGGTTTTTGGTCCTTTCATACCGTATTTATATTCAACTTCTTAGCAGGGATTTATATACCATGCAGTTCCTCATAAGGGATGTAAACAGGAATTGTCTGCAAAGTGTGTCTATTGTATTACGGTGCACATCAGAAGTTTCCAACTTTAAAAAACCACCACTCTTTGCCTGTAGCTCAAAGCAACCAAGTAGAAAATGTTTGGTAAGTTAGAACAGAATTCATATTTAGCTCATTCAGGCTGTTGGTGTGGTGAAACAGACTTACATTTGGATGAGTGGACAGACTAGCTAGGACAGGGGTCTCTAGGGTTGCCAAGTCGACTTACCTTCAAAGTGGGGGGATTTCCGGCTCGATCGGGAGTCTCCCCGCGCCTGTGCGCCATGATGATGTCACCAGAACAGTTACGATGACATCACCAGACACGCCACGATGATGTCACCAGACATCGACCATAGAGTTTTCCCTCGATTCACAGAGTGTCCCCCCCCACAACGTGGCCAGCGTGATGATGTCACCTCCAGGTAACATCATCACGCTGGGGACGCCCTCCAGCAGGGGGTGGAGTTCCCCCCAGGGCCCGATCCGCTGGCGGTGGGTAATGGGCCTCCCGAGTGGGAATTTACCCGCCCCCAGGGGGGGCTTGGCAAGCCTAGGGGTCTCCAACATGGTGTCTGTGGGTGCCCTGGTGCCCACCAACACTTTTACTGGAGCCCAAGAAATGTTTTTAGAAAGTGGGTCGGGCCACTGGGGCTTTTGCCCAGCAAGACTTCTGATTGCCCATTGGAGATTTGATTGGCTCAGCTGATTTTTAAAAAACATTGTTTTGGCAGCAACTGCCACCACAGCACAAGGATCTTCACTGTGTGACTGAAGGTAAGCTGTGGCAGCCATTTTTATGGCTGGGCCTGTGTAGCAGCCATTTTAAGGCAGCCATTTTGTGTCTGTGCCCACCGCAGTTTGTCAGAATTCCAAAAGTACCTGCTGGCTCAGAAAGGTTGGGGACCCCTGGGCTAGGAAATATTGTACAGGCCAGTAACTTCTGTCCACTTATTTTCAAGGCTGCCCTTGTCATAACTCGGCAATTTGTTGTGGGAATGAGGTCTGTGAAATACAAGGGCAGATACCACCCACAAGGACTTCTCTCTTAATTTTGATGGAGGAACTCTTCTACTAGAACGAATGGGGAAGTGTATGAGCAGAAGAGCTCATTGTACATAGGGGTACATGCACAGGTCTCCATAGTAGGGGTGTGCATTTGAAATAAACTGTACCGAAAAAATACCCGAAAATTACCTTATTTGTATTTTTCAGATATTATTCCGCTGAATGCAGATTAGACAATCTGGAAGACAATAATTTTTAAATGCCTCCCCTTCACCAAGGTGACACAACTCCAGAGAGTGAAGGGAAGGCATTTTTAAATGCCAAATAAATTTGGGTTTCCCAATTATTTACCTGAATCCCAACATCATACTGATATTTTCCCGAATCTGAAAAAATCCATTTTTGGTGCACATTCCGATTCCAAATCATGGGGGGAAAGATGTACATGGAATATGTAAACATACACAACAACAAAATTAGAAAAAATGACTTACAGGAGGTCCGGGGAGACCCTGAAGGCCAGTGAAACCTCTGTGACCTTTCTGCCCTCTGTCACCTCGATCTCCATTGTCACCTTTGTCTCCCTGAGGACCTTGGGGACCCTGCGAGCAGCGGGGGGGGGGGGGAGTAAAGACAACAACACAGCCAAAGTTAAGCACATTTCCACCTCATTATTTCAATGTACTAATGGGCACTCATAAACAGAGTTATGTGCTTCTAAACCCTTCTGCCCTTGTTAATCTCTCTCACTAAACTAGTGGTATTCAAAACTGTTTGCTTTTGAAACATATCTGAAATGTATAACCGTGCCTACAAAAACATTCCTGAACACCCCATGGAGACAGTGGGGTAGATCCAACCATCCCCCAAATTGGTGTCCCCATCATGGTACCCATGGGCAAGATGGCACCCATCTACACCTTTCCTGGTGCCTGCCATTTTTTTTAGAAAGTCGGGGGGCAGGGGGGGCTTTTGCCCAGCAAGACTTCTGATTGGCCATTGGAGATTTGATCGGCTGTCCAGACTTCTAAAACAGCACAGGGGTCTTCACTGTGTGAATGAAGGGAAGCTGTTGTGGCAGCCATTTTTTTACTTGTTCTGTGTCCAGTGGCAGCCATTTTGTGGCTGCATCCACCATGCAGTGTCAGAATTCCAGAGGTGCCAACAGGCACAAAAAGTTTGGGAACCCCTGCTCTAAGTAGCCTTCCTCTAACTTATGTGGCTCTTCCTCCAACAGAAGAGTGAGTTAAGATGGAGGAATGATGCTTACACTGAAGGAAGACTTCAAACTTGAGCCAAAGGGAAAGGTTTTAATGAAGAAATGAATAAACTTATTTCAGTGGAGTGGTAGGATAGCAGTACGATTCACCGTACTGTTTACTTCCCCCACTTCAAAAAGTTTTGAGCAAATGCACAACCTTTTAGCAATGTGATCGAGTACTGAAATTATCCTGATCTTAACTTTTACTCCTTGTTTTATGAGAAAAAGATAATTTTGAACAACTGCAATTTGTTATGGTTTGCACAGAATTGAATTCAAGAACATGTGTCCACTATTTGGACTACTCAGGTGAGAGAAGAGTCTAAACTAGAAAACAATAGGTTTGCTCTAGGGGTGTCCATTCGGCTATATCCGAGCCGAACAAATATAAAAAAAAATACATTATCGGTATTTTCCAGCTATTCTTTTCCGCTGAATCTCCTCAAGGTTGATCCACGTGTAGTTGCAAAGGGAGAGATTTAAACTATTGTAATTGCCTTTCGATAATGGTGGTTCTCACAAGTTAATTTATTTTGTTATTTTGCATTTTGTGATACTTGCTCATTAAGTGGCGATTCATATAAATGCAGTTATTTTTTAAAAATCATGGTTTTGTAATACTTGCTCATTAAGTGGCGATTCATATAAATGCAGTTTTTTTAAAAAAAATCGTGGTGGGTGAGTTAAACGAATTCATGCAGAACGTACCGGCAAACCACGTTTTCCAGCACGGCCAGAAGGACCCGATGGACCCCGAGATCCCTGAAAAAGAATAAAAAGCAGTTCCATTAATCTTCTCAGAACACCTTTAGGTTGTTTCAGTTGTTTGTATGTTAACTGCTGTCAAGTCACTTCCCGCTTACGGTTGTCAGCCAGCTGCCAATATGTTTCCCTATTCTCTGTGTATGCTCTTATGTTTCTCTATTCTATGAGTATGCGCCTGTTTATGCGCTTAATTGCCTAGTTGCAGGAACGTCCGTATCTCTCAAGGCCACAGGTGGTTTCTGCTGGGTAGTAGCTTGGGTGATCTCATGGCAGTATCCATGAGAAGCAGTATGTTATGATTAAGTAGGAGCGTTGCTTACCAGGCTCAATGGCATGCAGGGGAAGTCCCGCAATTGGGCCTCAGCTTTTTAAATTTACTATAATCCATTGGGATCCATGCTTATGCCTCATTCTGAGCAGTGATCCTGTTATGCACCTATTGCTTCAAATAAAGGAAAACCTTTTCTACAAGTGTGTGCTTCGTTGATGCAATGGGAGTCTGACAACGGTGACCCTACGACTTAATGACCTCAAAACGTCCTATCATTAACAGCCTTGCTCAGGTCTGGCAAAGGGCCGTGGGTTCCTTAATTGGCGGACTTTCTGATGGCACCTGGGTTTTGACTACTGCGTGACACAGAGCGTTGGACTGGATGAGCCATCGGCCTGATTTCAACATGGCTTCTTTTACGGTCTTATAAGTCAATCTGTCTCATGTTGCCCCTTCCTCTTTTCCTGCTGCCTTCAGCTTTTCCTGTTTTAAGTAATATCTCGGAAACCAAACTACTGTAACCACCAGCAATTCACAGCTCATCCTCAGCGTGAAAAACGCCATCAGCAGGCCTAACTACCTACTCAAGTGCCACCAGATCTAGCGACCTCTGTGACAAGGCCATTCCCTTACGTGTGGTCCTAAGCAGCGTTAACCCATTTATGTCCACTGAAGCCAATGGATTTAAAAGGGTATAACTCTGTTTAGGATTGCACTATTAATCTAACTGCAGGCTCTTTTCTGGCATGAAATCTGTTTAGTGAGGGAGGGTGTGACTGGAGACATGGTTGACTGGCAAGTACTCAATTCTAGATTGTCCCGTTTGCCATTCTAGTCGATAATTCTTATAATGGAAATTGAGAGAGATCCTCCAGGCTCCCCAAAGAACTAATCACAGTAGTTTGTGAAGGAACTCAGTAGCTTTATCGAATATTATACAGCTTATTATTGGAGCACCTTTCCTATGAGGAAAGGCTGAAGAGTCTGGGACTTCTCAGTTTAGAAAAGAGATGACTAAAGGGGGGGATGGGACATGATAGAGATTTATAAAATTGTGCAAGGGGTGGAGAAAGTCAACAAAGAGAAATTCTTCTCCCTCTTCCAAAATACCAGAACTCGAGGGCATCCCATGAAGCTGATGGGCAGTAGGTTCAGGTCGGACAAAAGGAGATACTACTTTCCACAGAGAGAGATTAAAATGTGGCATTCACTGCCAGAGGATGTCGCGATGGCCACAGGAATAAACAGCTTAAAAGGGGGATTAGACAGATTCATGGAGGAGAAGTCTATCAATGGCTACAAGCCATGGTAGCTGAAAAGAACCTCCATAGCCAGAGGCACTAAACCTCTGAATCCCAGAGCCAGGAGGCAATGTCAGGGGAAGGTCTTGGCCTCTCTGCCCTGTTGCTAGACCTCCAGAGGAACTGGTTGGCCACCATGTGAGAGAGGATGCTGGACAAGATGGACCACTGGTCTGATCCAGCACGGCCCTTCTTATGTTCTTAGGAAGGCCTCAGCCTCTATGCCCAGTTGTTGGCCCTTTAGAAGACCTGATTGGCCACTGTGTGAGACAGGAGGCTGGACTAGGTGGACCACTAGTCTGATCCAGCAGGGCTCTTCTTATATTTTTAACTTTGCCCTAAAAGGCCTAACTGCAACAACTCTGGTGGTAACAGAAAGTGCAGTCAAATTGCAGTCAACTTATGGCGATCTTATAGGGTTTTTCAAGGTAGGAGACAAACAGAAGTGGTTTTCCCATTGCCTGCCTCTGCATAGCAACCCTGGACTTCCTTGGTGGTCTCCCATCCAAGTATTTAAAAGGGCCGACCCTGCTTAGCATTCCAGATCTGACGGGAACAGGCTAGCCTGTGCCACCCTTGTCAGGCCGCAACAACCCTATCCATCTTAACAATAAGAGCAACGCTTCTTCCTAGACTCCATAGGGGTCCCAAATCCCCCCGGGGGGCGGAATTCCCCCCGGTTTCGAGCCCTGATTCCCGCTCCTGTGAAATCGGGGCCTGGGGGAAACCCCACCCCTGCACGTGCGTCACCCGGAAGTGACGTCACACGCTGGGGGTGGGGCGACGCCATTTGAGGGGAAAACAAAGAGTTTTCCCCTCAAATGGCATCGCCCCGCCCCCAGCGTG